AAAACTTGACTGCTAAAAGATACTAACCATCTCAGCCTTCAGTGAGTCATAGTAGTAACATCAAAGATCACTGATCACAGATCCCCAATGCAAATATAATAATGAAAAAGCTTTAAATATTGCAAGAATTACCAAAATGTGACACTGAGACATGAAGTGAGCAAATGCTATTGGAAAAATGGAGTGGATAGACTTGCTAGACTCGGGGTTGCCATAAAACAAAAAATGCATTATCTGTAAAGCACAATAAAAAAAAAAGCTAAGTGCAATAAAAGATGTGCCTGTACTCAGTAACTTACATGGCATAAGGTCCAACAAAGGGAAGAATGTGATAATTGCTCAATGTGTAATTCTGCCTATTTGTACTACTAAGCCAAGACTTTGATAGATAATCCACTCATTTGGATTACATGTTTCTATGTATGTGATTTGATCAACCAAAAAATTAGGTACAAAATGTCAAGCTTTTTCCTTTTTTTCTTTAAAGGGCAGCTCAGTGGTTTGGGGTTGGTTAGTACAATACAGAGAATACAGAGGATACTTGTAAAATGTCTCTAACACCAATGCCAGTACTCATCTCATAAGGATATTATTAATTTTTGTGTTATTCACTTTTCTTTAGAACATAAAGTCATTAACTTGAACTTGCTGTATACACACAATACATACACAACCTTATGCAAAATACTTTTCATAAGTAACATTACATTTTAAAATATTGGAAACCGAATATCTGTGATCTGCATTTTGACTTAGTGGGAAAAGAAGAGAACATTCAACTAGGGAGGATTATATTGATAATAAGACTCAAAAGTGTCTTCCTCTCCCCCTCTCCCTTTGTACTTAACACAGCTTATACAATGTCCTGAGAGATTCATTATGAGAAAAATGTCCATCACAGCTTTAAAGCCTTGCTTTGGAAGGAACTAATGAGAAAGCAGATTGGAAGGTGAGACTTCATCTTTGTTTTCAAAGAAGTGGTCTTAATTTTTCTTCTTATAGAAAAAATTTAAATCAGTTCATTGTAAATATATCTAAACTATTAATTTTTGCAGTTTTCAATTATACAAAAGCTACGAGAAGAGGGCAGTAGAGATCATCTAATCTTAAATCATGATGTCATCCGTTCAAGTCCTTGGCATAATCCCTGGTCAGTAAGAGCACAGAATACCTGTATATGCCACAAATGATCTTTAATATATATCAGAAATTATTTTCAAAAACTGGGAGATTTCTACTATAGCCATGCATTCTTTAACATCTTGTTCATTAGCAAAAATCAGCAATGCAGCTTTCCTTAGGTCTTCATGGGCTAACATTTTATAGAGTTCCTCAGTTACAGCAATCCTTTCTCTGTACTGTCCACAACAGTTATTACAAACTCTGTTAGTGTAAGAAGTGTTCCAGGAAGAACGAAGAGACTCTTGGCCACCAGTATCCCACATTATGAAATGTGTATTATTAATCACTATTTCTTCTACATTGCTTCCTATTGTAAGGGATGCATGTACAACTTCATTCACAGAAAACTGGTAAAGGATGGTAGTTCTCTCTGCATTATGCAGTCCAACAATGATAAGTATGTGCTCCTGGTGGTTGAACAGTCTCCCTGTCCTGGTGAAGAGAATACACGTTCTTAGGCAGCAGGCCCCCTCCAGCCACCAGGGCCACCTGGCCTCTCCCACTCAGGCAGAAGGGAAGGCAGAGATGCGCCAGAGCCTCAGCCTCTTCCTTGGAACTGGAGAGAGACCAAAGCCCAGGCCACAGATACTGGCAGATATTTTCTCAAAAAACAAATGAGTTTGGGAAAAAATCTGATGGTATTAGTTGTCAAAGATAAAATTCAAGCTTTCAAATGAAAATTACAATTTTGGAAAGCTTGTATCTGTCACTGTGCACTTACACCTCCACACTTAAAGACTTAGGATGAGATCAGTCATGATGTTAATCAATGTGATTTTGTAGATATTGTTTAATGAAATCTGTCAACATCTGGACGATCTGCATAATTCAGTGATCCAATATTTTTCAAATGATCCATGTGCAGTGTTACAAAACCATGCAAAACACAGTTGTATTCAAAATATAAGACAGACCAATGGATTTTAGAAAAATTTACCAATATGATTGCAGATTACACATTGCAACTAACCTTTAAGAAACCTGTCAAGTTTTGGTGTAGTATCAAAGAAGAATATCCATAATTTTCAGAGAAGGCTATTGAAATACTCCTCGCTCTTCTAACTTCATATTTATGTGAGACCAAATTTTCTTCAGCTATTTCAACCAAAACAACATATCACAACAGATGGAATGCAGAATCAGATATGAGAATCCAGTATCTTTTGTTAAACCAGAAATCAAAAAGATCTGCAGAAACAATGTCACTCTTCTCACTAATTTTTGTTTGGGAAAATAATTTAAAAATAAAAATGTACTATTTCTGCTAGCATGTAATGGGTTAAATCTTAATCTTAAATCTTAATTCCTGCTACAATAAAAGAGCTATATAGAACTCTTTGGGATCCTCAATAATTTTTAGAGTGTAAGTAGTCCTGAGACCAAAATGTTTGAGAACTGCTATTCTAGGTAAAGATACAGGAGCCTAAAGAGGTTAAATGACTGGGCCAAGGTTGCATAACTAGAGAGTGTTAAAGCCAGGAATTAAATCCAGTTATGTCCAACTCAAGTTCTTTCTACTAAGTCCATCGTCTTAAACACAGAAGACTGACTTAGAAGTGCACTTAATGTATGCCTTACATATGCAATTATTATATAGGTATCCCATCTTATATTTTTATTGTGTACTGGTTATTTCTCATGTCATGAAATAACTCACTTTCCATGAAACAAGAAAAAAGTATCCTTAAGGCAGCATCTTTAGGATGAGTTAGGCTTAACAAAAAATCAGCAGCAAGGAATGTGATCAGTATCACAGTTCTGGTTCTTCAGAGAGGGGAACTCTGGGAAAAGACAGTGCAGCTGTATAGATGCATTGTTTTATTCCGCCAAAGCCCATGAGCATAAAATGACATAAAAGCCAAAGCCCACGAGCATAAAACGTCACACTCATCATCTAACACATCTCTTCCCAACAAGGAGAAATTGCTCATAAGACAAAGCTCTCTTGAAGCCAGTAATAACTATCGATATTGTAGCTGGCAGTTGCTTATCTTGTTTTTAAAACTTGCAACATAGAATAAATCTAAATTCCCTAGGAGGCTGGGGAGATTGGACTTGGAACTGAAACCTGGCTTACAGTTTACAATTAGTTTGTGTGTTCCAAAACTCTGGTTGTGTTGTTTCCAACTTTATCAGTAACTAGGTTCTTTATTTTTGAGAAAATATTTAATTAATGGGAATTCCCTGGCAGTCCAGTGGTTAGGACTCCACGCTTTTACTTCTGAGGGCCTGGGTTCAATCCCTGGTCAGGGAACTAAGATCCCGCAAGCTGCGTGGTGTGGCCAAAAAAAAGAATAAATAGTGACATTTCCCTGGATTTCAGAATAAGCTTTTCTTTTTCCTGACAGGCAGGACTGAAGAAAAGCTGAGTGATGCCCAAAGTGACTAGGTCTCTGTGATGCCAACACGAGATTGTATGACATCTGGGGACTTGGGGCCTTTGGTGTCTGTAGCCTAGAAAATAGTCTCTGGATTTTGGGTATCTTCTGTAACTCTCATTTCCAGGATAGAAAGACAATATTTTGGTCAGAATTAGGTTCTAAACAGTTAATAGTAAATTTATTATATTTAGAAACTAGGTAATGCAGATGTGGGATAAATGAATGTAAAGTTGCATTTTCTTACCTAATAAAGGGCATCTCTAGAAATTCCCTCCACTGAGAAAGGGTAGGCAGAGTTGGATGCCTTTCTCACCATAAGCACTCTGCCAGCAAGAATTTTCTGGCTCCAGAGTACATCCACAAATGGGGAGAGACTGGGTTAAAGGACAAACTTTTGGGAAAAGCTCCACTTAATGGCATCAGTGAAGGTCACACTCTTCACAGCCTATTGAGCATAACAAATTAGACCTGGAAGCAAAGCTGATTTTATTTTCAAACAGAAAGATTGTAGTATCAAACTGCTTACAGCACTGAGAAAAATAGGCTGGAATATAAGACTGATATTTGGTGTAAATTGTAAATCAAAAGAATGTCAAGGCAAAAGTGAAGATAAAGTAGAAAAGAACAATGTCATTAATCAAGGCCTTATTCCCATTTTATAATTACTAATTAATTATAAGCCTTTATTTGTGTCAACAGAACGTATAAGAAAATCACAGTGAGTTTCAGTGTTCACTTTTCTACATTTGAGGTTGGTTTAAGGTCAATTAATATTTTCAGTTACTTATAATTGAGGGAAAGTGTTATTCAGGGATTAATGATTATTTTAAAAAATAGAAATATAAGCAGAATACTGATTAATGAAATTACTGTTTTCCTTTTGCCACAGATGTCAGTTTTGTTTAACCTTAAACTATAAAATACATAGATATATCTGTATACTGTCTACAGATGGATAATATCATCATCTTACATTTAAGTAATGCTTTAAAGTTTTTCAAAGCATTTTTACTCACACTATCTTCCACATATATTATCTCCTAGGATTCTGGCAAGAAGAGGCCAGGGAGGGAGCCAGGGCAAGTACTGTTTACATTTCACACGTGCAGGAAGGGACGCTAAGAGAGGTTTATACAACTTGCAAGGTAAAGCACTGATTAAGATTTTGTGACTTTTATTTCAGTGATTTTTTACTTTATATCATGTTGCTTCTCACTATATTATGTTGATAGCTTAAATGTCATTATCCAGCTTCCTTTATAGGATTCTCTTGATGAGGCTGGTTGAACTGACCCCTCCATCAACGGACCAGTCTAAAGGGGCAAGAATCTTCCCACATTTCACATATGGTTTGATTACCTCTGTCCTAAGAGAACAATCTACTATCGGGGTATGAAAAACATGATTAGAAAACACTATGCCATTATGTTACTCTGTCAAAAAGCCATGTTTCACACCTCTCCAAGTAAAAAGAAACTTCAAAAAAGTCCCAAATAAAATAATCCTAATAATGCATGCTCTCGTTAAAATTGGATACCTTTTGTGTTTCTTCATTGAGGTGAAGAATGTTGCCTGGATTCCTTCCATTTAAAAACTTGAAGTCAGATCTGTGGCTGAACTCCAGATCTGATTTTAGCCTTGGGGAAGCAAAGAGGACAAAACTCAAAAGCTCAACTTTCTGGATGGCATGGATGATTCAATGAACTCTTTTTTGTTTCTGAGTCTGTTGGCCAGGAGACCTGGATATGATAGGGCTTCAGTTCCTCAGGCGGGATAGAATCTGGGGCATTGCTCATAAGGTCATGCCCCTGGAAAGATTTGGGGAAGGCTATGACATCTCTGATGCTTGGCGCTCCAGTGACAAGGCACATCAGTCTGTCTAACCCTGTAAAATACAAAGTTAATAGATAAGAATGTAACCTAAGGTTGGGGGTGACTTAATTTTTCTATAAAGGTTGTAGAAAACTTTTAAGTAAGAACCTTTAATAAGTTGCAGCTAAGCATAGTTCCCTGCCTTTTTAGAGAACTTTTGTTTGTATGAGAGGTTTCTTTTATCTCATTCCAGAAAAGTGCTCAGGACTAATATTCACATGCTACTGGGATTAATAGTCACAGCAATTAATGAGTCCTGAGCAAGGGCGTACTGAAGGTTGAACAAAATTAGGTGCTGTGCAGGGGACTCCAAAAACACAGAAGGCAGTCCCTATTGTTGAGAGCCTACAATCTAGGTAAGCTACCTAGAACTTCTCACATTCTTCCTTGTTTGATAAAACAAGCAGTGTGAGCAACCAAGGCCATCAGAAAGGCACTGGCTCTCATTAGTTATCTATTTTATACATAGTAGTGTATATATGTCAATCCCAGTCTCCCAATTCATCCCACCCTCCCCTTCCCCACTTGGTATCCATACGTTTGTTCTCTACGTCTGTGTCTGTATTTCTGCCTTGCAAATAAGTTCATCTGTATCATTTTTCTAGTTTCCACGTAAGAACCTACTGTACAGCACAGGGAACTCTACTCAATGCTCTGTGGTAATCTAAATAGAAAGGAAATCCAAAAAAGAGGAGATATATGTATATACATAGCTGATTCACTTTGCTGTATAGCAGAAACAAACACAACATTGTAAAGCAACTATACTCCAATAAAAGTTAATTAAAAAAAAAAAGGCACTGGCATATTCCTACTTTCGCACAAGCTGAATACTGTGGAGCAGTACTTTTCACGCTTTTATGAATTTGTCTGTGAGCCTCCAGGGATTTGAGCAATGTTGACTTAAGACTGTAGTTTCATTCTATTAAAAAATCTTTCAAATGCAAATTATCAGTTAAGTTTTATCTTTATTAATGGTTAAATATATTTTTAAAGTATATCATCAGGGAATTCCCTGGTGGTCCAGTGGTTAGGACTCGGTGCTTTCACTGCTGAGGGCCCGGCTTCAATCCCTGGTTGGGGAACTAAGATCCTACAAGCCACATGGTGTGGCCAAAAAAAAAAAGTCATCAAAATGAAAAACACCAAATTAAATTCTTTAGAACCCTTGGGCTCACCCCCTACCCTCTTTACTCCTCCACTCCCCCTAACCTCACCCTTTACCCATAAGCTGAGCGTCCAAATTTGACACTTAGAGCTACAGAATTAAATACAGAATTAATTTTAGCTTGTAAAAGGACAGATTGTTTACCTATGGCAATTCCTCCATGAGGGGGCGCCCCATAATCTAAAGCCTGGAGCAGATGGGAGAGCAATTTCACGTCTTCCTGAAATTCAAAAGATAATCCAATTTAAATACACACTGAGGGTCCACTAGGTGCCACACAATACAATTAGTTGCTAAAGGGAAAATAAAAGTTGAGTTAAAAAAGTACCTTAAGAGGTTTACAGTTTAGCAAGAGAATATGACAAGTCACTGATACTACAACATGCAGGGAAATGCCTGAGGCTCAGTAAATGCAGCTATTATTATGCTGGTAATGCAGACAGGGTAAGACCAATTAAGGACATGGAGATGTGGCCTCAGAAAGGTAGGATGAAAGAAGGAACAGGATCTGTCAGAGGGACCAAGAGGAGAGAACGTTATTAGAAGGGCAACAATGCTGATGCTGCCAGAAGGTAGGATGGCGTGTGGGCCAACAACAGACCGCTGGATTTGGTGACCGTGCAAGATACTTTTGTGAGGCAATGCCTGTAGAAATGTTGAAAATGTGTCTGAAATGGTTCCCTAACCAGTCTACAGATCACAATCAAGTGGCAAGATTTTAAGAAACAAATGCCCAAGCTTCACGTCTAGAGCTTTTTATTTAATTGGTCTGGTAAGGAGCAGTGAGTGTATTTTTTGTTTGTTTGTTTTTAATGCTTTCCAGGTGATTCTGTTCTAATGTGCAGAAGGGCTGAGAAACACTGGTGGGTAGGGAAGAAGTGGAAGCAATGTATTCTCACTGACATTTTGAGAAGCTTGAAAGGAATGAAAAAAATAGGCTGGGAAACACTAGGGGCTTTGGCTTAAGAGGAGAAAAGTTAAGGGAGTTTGCAATGTTTTTAAAGCTAAAGGGGGAATTTGGTGTAGAGTTCTCCAATCCTATTCTTAGAAATAAAGTTCCTGGGACTTACCTGGTGGCACAGTGGTTAAGAATCCGCCTGCCAATGCAGGGGACACGGGTTTGAGCCCTGGTCCGGGAAGATCCCACATGCCCCAGAGCAACTAAGCCTGTGCGCCACAACTACTGAGCCTGCACTCTAGAGCCCGCGAGTCACAAATACTGAGCCCATGAGCCACAACTACTGAGCCCGTAAGCCACAACTACTGAAGCCTGCGTGCCTAGAGTCGTGCTCCACAACAAGAGAAGCCATGGCAATGAGAAGCCCGTGCACAGCAACGAAGACCCAATGCAGCCAAAAATAAATAAATAAAATAAATAAATTTATAAAAAAAAAAAAAGAAATAAAGTTCCTCTATCCCACCTCACCCCTGTTAGTTAATCCCACAAAATGATCTTTTAGGATCAGACTCTTGGACATTTGCCTTCCTAAAATCTATCCTAGCCTCCTAAAGAGTCATCAACAAACTGCAGATTCTTAGGCTTGCATCTATAGAGACTCTTCTTTTGAAAATTCTGATTAACCCACTCTGTCATTAAAATCTACCCCCACCTCAAATACTAAGTGACATAAAATCCTTTCAAACCTTTCTCTCTTTCTCTAGCATTATCAACATTTTCAGTCATTTCAGACTGCATCCTTTTTTGAGCAGTGCAGTGGTTAGGAGTTTAGGAGCTTGGGTTCAAGAACCAACCTGCCTGGATTCGAATCCTGGCTCTGCTTCTGTGCTGTGTGACTTTGGGCAAATTAATTCATCTGCCTCAGTTTCTTATCTTTAAAATGAGTAGAATAAAGGTCTTAATTTAAAAAGTAACTGTGAGGGACTTCCCTGGTGGCGCAGTGGTTAAGAATCCACCTGCCAATGCAGGGGACATGGGTTTGAGCCCTGGTCTGGGAAGATCCCACATGCCACGGAGCAACTAAGCCCATGTGCCACAACTACTGAGCCTGCGTCTAGAGCTCGCGAACCACAACTACTGAACCTGTGCTCTAGAGCCCACGAGCCACAACTACTGAAGCCCACGTGCCTAGAGCCCGTGCTCTGCAACAAGAGAAGCCACCGCAGTGAGAAGTCCGTGCACCGCAGCGAAAAGTAGCCCCCGCTCACCACAACTAGAGAAAGCCCATGTGCAGCAACAAAGACCCAATGCAGCCAAAAATAAATTAAAAAAAAAAAAAGTAACTATGAGGATTAAATGTGTCCATGTGTATAAGGTACCTAGTGCCTGGCATATAGTAGTCACTAAAAAATACATATTATTATTTATTTTTCAAAGTCTAACACTAAAGGTAGAGAAATAAGCTGATACTATTCTATATCTAGTGAATCCTCCATTCATAACAAATTTTAACAAAACAGACAAATATTACAGTTTTTTACAAAAGCCAAGTTAGAAGATGATGTTACCTTTAGTACTGTTGCCAGGATGTAATGCTGTAGCTCTGCATCATGAATTCGGATAGAACCACCTCCTATCTCACTGCCATTTAAAACCAAGTCATAGTGTTGGCTACGGACCTAGAAGATTCAAAGAGCCTCTATGTTAGAGAAAATCTCTGGTTTTCTGTTCTGTACGTTGAAGAGCCTGTAGCTACTTAGAGACAATGGCTTAAACCCAGCAATTTCTTCTGGGGCTTCTAGAACTGGGTCAGACTATGAAACCTGAAGTTCTTTGCCTTGTTTCCATATTTCCTTTTAATTTGGAAGTATAGATATGTTACCTTTTGGGGCTCAGTGTAAAGATGGTGGATGTCACTGGGGTGGGGAGCAGTAAATGGGTGATGGGCTGTCTCCAGCTCTTCGGGATTTTCCTCCTTGGGAAAGAAGAGGGGGAAATCCACAACCCAAAGGAAAGAGAACAGAGCTGGGTCACGAAGCACCACTCCTCTTGCTTCTAGAAGGTCAGCACACTCCAGTCGTAATTTTCCCAACAAAGAGCACTGCAAACAGAAGATACAAACGTTGAGCTAACTGCTGTGACAGAGTAGGCAGAAAATGACACAACATGGATTCTAAAGCCAGGCCTTTCTCTGAGAAAGGATTAGCCAATTTACAGATGAGATGCTCTTAGCCTCTCAGGAGAGAAAGATCTGAGGATGATCTGACTGCGACATGGTTGAGAATCGTCAGACTCAGCCGACTTGGTGAGTATCTGCCAACACAGTGACTGAGAACACAGGTATCAGAGCTTGATTAACCTGGGTCTGTATCTCACTTTGGCTACTGACTAACTTCTCTGCACCTTTTTCCATAGTAAAATGGAGATAGAAATATCTACTCCAAAGACTGTTGTGAAGATCAAGTCACATAAGCTCTCTAATACGAACCAGCTATTATGATTATTATTTCCTTACTGTTCCTGAAGGGTTGTGGTGAGGAACTGATGAGAGCCTGGAACACACTTAATGTTCAATAATGTTGGCTGTTATTAGACAGACAGTATGGATTAGAGTTTACATTAAGAAGGTGACTTCTGGACCTGGACTTTGTGGGTTAGAAACCTGGCTCCTCTCCTCTACCTCCTAGCTGTGTGAGTGTGAACAAATTCTCAACCTCTGTGCCTCAGTTTTCTTATCTTTTAAAATGGTAACAGTATCAATACTTCTCTCAATAGGGTTGGCATGAGGATTAAGTTAGTTAATATACACCAAGTACTTGAAACAGTTGTGGGCAAACAGAGAGTGCTGTGATAAGTGCTAATGATGACAGGCAGGGCATCCCTGAGAAAGGGCAATTAGTCAGAACTGGAGACATGCCTGCAGACATGCACAGGGTGTCACTCTGTAGCCTATTCTATCTGACACTTAGATATCCACAAAGGGCACCTACACTGTGACATATTCAGAATGCTAATGTTGTTCCTCGTAAATCTGCTTTCTAGCATTCTCTCAAGGAAGTCCCAATAGAAATTAGAGTGATGCCTTTCTGGGAAGAGAACAGGAGCAGTTTTAGTTCATGCCAGGGGAAAGTTTAATAGCCAAATGAATTTGCAGCAGGATTTTTAATACAAAATCCCAAATTCTTTTTTAAGAAATGCATTGACAATAAAATTTGTAATTAACTGGTGCATCCCCCAGCAAATTTAACACTACTGGCTCATGGCTGGTATTAAAAACTAATATTGATAAATGAATTAATTAAAAATAAAAAAGACTGTAGGGAATTCCCTGGTAGTCCAGTGGTTAGGACTCCATGCTTCACTTCCGAGGGCCCAGGTTCAATCCCTGGTCGGGGAACTAAAATCCCACAAGCTGCGTGGTGTGGCCAAAAAAAAAAAAAAGAAGGGTGTAATATCAAGAAAAGTTGTAATTACATAGCTTTCCTCACTCTACTATTGCAGGGAAAGGTAAGGACAGTGGATTATATTTAGCTTTGTAGCCGAACTCTGAAACTTTTCCTTTGGAAGATATAATGATAAATAGGCACAGTGCAAATATAAATTAGAAGAATGAACTTGATAAAGTACTAATCAGACACTATAAGGATATCATATTATACTGTACTGTAAGGATGAATATTTATTTATTTATTTATTTTTGGCTGCGCCCCATGGCTTGCAGGATCTTAGTTCCCCAACCAGGAACTGAACCCGGGCCCCGGCAGTGAAAGTGCCGAGTCCTAACCACTGGACTGCCAGGGAATTCCCAAGGATGAATTTTTATCATGTTTGATCTTTACAGTATATTTTCAATATTCATGTTTGAGTTTTATACCACACTTTGTATATTTTATAATGATCTCTAAAGTTAAATCCATTGTTCCATACGTCTCCTGAAGAATGGTGATTTAGCCAGTGCATGGCAGCCTGCACCACCTCCCAGCTGCTGCTCCTGAGGAAAAAGGGTACTGCCTCAACCAAGTAGGGCCAGGGGTATCTGCCAGCCCAGTAGCCCTCCAGCAGTCTGACCTGTCCCTCCACATTTTCAGGAATGCATTATGTACAAAAGTTTGGGACAACCAACTTTTCTTAATCTGTAAAACTTCAAAAATGAAAATATTTTTTCACAGTTGTACAACAAATACCAATAGCTCTCTACCTAAGTGGCTTTCCTAGAGCCAGATCTAATCGCTGTGAGCAATGCCAATGTAGGCTGTTAGCTGATGAAAAAAACTCTAGTTTTTATACAGTGTATTTTATTACAGTGCCAAAAGACACAAAAACTCATGCAGAGCAGCTCCAATTTATGAAATTAACAGTCAATTTCAAATATGTACTATACACACAGGAGAAGAGAGGCATCATTCAGCATCAACAGCACAGATGCCAGGAGGTAATGTTGCTTACTGCTTTCTTATGCTCTCCGGCAGTTAGCAGGACCACATCCTCCTCTTGGGTCTCCAACAGTCTGATTAGTCCCAAGCCTTGCTCCTCCATTATGAACTTAGCAACTGGAGAATTCCAGTTGTTATTGGTTTTCAAGAATATAGGTAAGACTTCCTGTGACAAAAAAAAAGGCTTATACATTTTTCAAAAAGCAGGGTTGATTTATTTTTCCTGGAGTACAAAGATTTCTGGTTTCCAAAAGAAAATGAACGTACATGAGATTATCTCTATTCCCTCCCTGAAGCCCTTCAAAACGATACTAAAGGAATCTAAAAATTAATCTCACCAAAATGAAAAAAAAAAAAAGAAGGAATGAAGGGTGAGAAGGGATATCAGAGCGAAGAGATTTCTGAAAATTTTTGGCAGGTTGCAGGCGAGTGGAATAGGAATGACCAAAGAAGCAAGATGCAGGAAGCTCTGGCCTAGAGAACAATGGAGCAGCTTCAGCACAGGAAGGAACTGATCTTACCCTGCAAAATCCTAGAGGTGCAGGGCTCTTAAGAAGAGCCCTGGGGTGATAACCAACTGTCTTGCTGCTCACCCAAAACTAAACCTAACCATTTACAAAACCTAACCATTTACAAAACCATTTACAAAACCTGACCATTTCTAAACCTAACCATTTACAAAAGCCCCTTTAAACAGCTTTTTAAATGGCTCATATTCTTAAATATGTACAATTAACAATCACATCACTATACAATGAAGAAGCTACAGCATTAAAGAAAAAAAAGACCCAGATAAACAGAAAAAAAAAATGACCCTAGAGAAAAGAGATAATTTAGGGACCAAAAAACTTGAATCCTCAAAGATATTAAAAAAGGTATTTTATCAGTAAGATGAGAATAAAATGCAATGAAAAGAAGCAAGAAAGAGCTGGTGGGAAATAAAAATATGATTGCTTAAAAAATAAACAACAACAACAGAAGAGTTGAAGAAATCTCCCAGAAAGAATAAAAAAGACAAATTTTCCACAGATGAAAGACATGAGCCTTCATATTCAAAGGGCCCTTCAAGTGTGCAACACACTGAATGAAAAATGACTCAAAATTATACAGACTGTGAAATTTCAGAGCATCAGGAATCAGGAGGCTGAACGCTTCCAAAGGGAAAAAAAAATTAGGTTTACTATAAAAGAATAAATTCATACAAACATCAGATTTCTTATCAGTAACAGTAGGTATAAAAAAATAAAGCAATGCCTCCAATGAGCTAAGGCTCACTGTCACATGCAGCTATTTAAATTTAAAGTAAAATGAAATAAAATAAAAAATTCAGTTCCTCAGGTATATATTTGCCACATATCAAGCATTCAATAGCCACACTGGCTGGTGGCTACCATAGTGGACAATGCAGATATGAAACAGTTCCATCATTGCAGAAGGTCTACCGGACAGCACTGTTCTAAAGGGATATGACTACCAATTCAGAATTTTATACCAAGCCAAATTATTAATCAAGTGGGAGGTTTTGAACACAAAGACATTTTTAGACATATAAGGATTCAGAAAGTTTCTCTTTCACATGCTGTCTTAGGAAGTTACTTGAGGATATAATCCAGCACTACTAAGAAAGAGGAAGATCTGGGATCCAGGAAAAGAGTAGCTTCAACTCAGAAGAGGAATGAAGAAAATGTCCAGAAAGACAGCTGTGAAGAGGCACAGAGTAACTAGGTAAGGCCTGTGTATGTGAGCCTTACCTCTCATTGCAGGAGGTACGATGCAAGGTTTAAAATGGATAAGTAGGGGCTTCCCTGGTGGCACAGTGGTTAAGAATCTGCCTGCTCATGCAGGGGACACGGGTTTGAGCCCTGGTCCAGGAAGATCCCACATGCCTCAGAGCAACTAAGCCCGTGCACCACAACTACTGAGCCTGTGCTCTAGAGCCCGCGAGCCACAACTACTGAGCCCGCGAGCCACAACTACTGAACCCGTGAGCTACAACTACTGAGGCCCACGGGCCTAGAGCCCATGATCCACAACAAGAGAAGCCACTGCAATGAGAAGCCCGCACACCACAAGGAAGAGTAGCCCCCACTCGCCGCAACTAGAGAAAGCCTATGCGAAGCAACAAAGACCCAACACAGCCAAAAATTAAAAAAAAAAAAGGCATTCTGATAAAAACAAAGGTACTCTGGTATGGGACTGGAACAGAGTGAGCTAGAGTAAACACTTATTGTATTGAACTATTAATCCTTCTTTAATATTTTTTTTTAAACCATGTACATGCAGCATATTGCTAAAAATAAACATTAAAAACAATTCAAGCCAAATCAAGTTAAAACATATTAATACATTTTAAAAATATAAAAATTCAGGAAATTAGGAAAGTAAAAAAGAAAAGAGGAGAAGAAAGAGAAGAAGAAAATGTAATAATAGTCCCATCAACTAAAGGCTGCCAAAGTTAACTCTCAGGCTTATTTTGTGTTCCTGGGTTCCTAAATACAGGTTTCAAACACTAGTAAAATAAAAACAAAGAAAATTGGGAGATATAGGGCTGACAATTTTGAATTTTATCAAAGGCATAAAACAAACCCCAAATATCTACTATTACCATAATTTCATAAAAGAAAACATATTTCTATAGCAAAATATGAGAAGTATAATCCTTTAAATTCATTTAACTTTATGAAAAGCTTTTTATACCCCTGGCTTTTCTTATTTTGCCTTGACCCATTTTGGAAACCATTATCCTTATCTTTCTTTTTTCTTGAAAAATCCCTTTGAACTTGATGTATGAGACTTGTGATGTGTGGTAGTAGAGGTGGGTAGTCCATTTTCCTTTTTATTCCTCTCTTTTTTTAAAAAAATTGAAGTATAGTTGATTTACAATATTGTGTTAGTTTCAGGTGTACAGCAAAGTGATTCAGTTATTCATACATATATATATATATATTTTTTTGATTCTTTTCTGTTATAGGTTATTACAAGATACTGACTATAGTTCCCTGGCTATACAGTAAATCACTGTTGCTTATCTATTTTATACATGGTAGTGTGAATTTGTTAATGCCAAACTCCTAATTTATCCCTCCCCCACTTCCCCTTTGGTAACCATGTTTGTTTTCTATGTCTGTGAGTCTGTTTTTTGGTAAATAAGTTCATTTGTATTGTTTATTAGATTCCACATATAAGTGATGTATTTGTCTTTCTCTGACTTACTTCACTTAGTGTGATAATCTCTAGCTCCACCCATGTTGCTGCAAATGGCATTATTTCGTTGTTCTTTTATGGCTGAGTAATATTCCATTGTGTGTGTGTATACACACACACACACACACGCCCCACATCTTTATCCATTCATCTGTTGATGGATACTTAGGTTGCTTCCATATCTTGGTTATTGTAAATAGTGCTGCTATGAACACTGGGGTGCATGTATCTTTTCAAACTAGAGGTTTGCTCTTTTCTGGATATATGCCAGGAGTGTGATTGCTGGATCATATGGTAACTTTATTTTTAGTTTTTTAAGGAACCTCCATACTGTTCTCCATAGTGGCTGCATCAATTTACATTCCCACCAACAGTGTAGGAGGGTCCCCTTTTCTCCACACCCTCTCCAGCATCTATCATTTTGGCCTTTTTTTTTTTTTGCGGTACGCGGACCTCTCACTGTTGTGGCCTCTCCCGTCGCGGAGCACAGGCTCCGGACGCGCAGGCTCAGCGGCCATGGCTCATGGGACTAGCCGCTCCGCGGCATGTGGGATCTTCCCGGACTGGGGCACAAACCCATGTACCCTGCATCAGCAGGCGGACTTTCAATCACTGCGCCACCATTTGTAGACTTTTTGATGATGGCATTGTAGTTTTGGTTTGCATCTCTCTAATAATTAACGATGTTGAACATCTTTTCATGTGCCTATTGGCCATCTGTGTGTCTTCCTTGGAGAAATGTCTATTTAGGTCTTCTGCCCATTTTTTGACTGGGTTGTTTGGTTTTTTGATATTGAGTTGTATGAGCTGTTTGTAATTTTAGAAATAAAGCCCTTGTTGGTCACATCATTTGCAAATATTTTCTCCCAGTCTGTAGGTTGTCTTCTTGTCTTGTTTATGGTTTCCTTTGCTGTGCAAAAGCTTATAAGTTTGATTAGGTCCCATTTGTTTCTTTTTGCTTTTATTTCTTTTGCCTTGCGAGACTGATCTAACAAAGTATTACTACGCTTTATGTCAGAGAACGTTTTGCCTATGTTCTCTTCTAGGAGTTATATGGTGTCATGTCTTATATTTTAAATCTTTAAGCCATTTTGAGTTTATTTTTGTGTATGGTGTGAGGGTGTGTTCTAACTTCATTGATTTACATGTGGCTGTCCACCTTTCCCAACACCACTTGCTGAAGAGACTGTGTGAGTAGTACATTTTCAATCCACAAATACAGTGTTTATACCTGGTTATGATCAGTGAATATATAGTTCTGTATTCTCCTTTTCCTACAAATCATTATAACCTGAACATTTTTCCTACATTACAAACTTTTAGTTAAGAGACAAAATTTTTAAAAGGAACTTTAATATTTATTCCTTTAATTCTACCTTAATTTATTTAATCACACCCATATGGTTTCATTTTATTCCTGTAAATGATACTGTGCATAAGTGTCCTCATATCTAAGATCCTTTCTTTAAAGTATAGAAAATTATTGACTCAAAGGGTCATATTTTAAAATATGACTATTTTTAAAGTTAGTGATTCCAAAATGGCTGAGGTAATTTATACTTCCAGTGACAGTGTAAGAATGCCCATTCCCTGCTCCTCCTCCGTATTTTAGTGCTACTGTTCACCAAGCCAAGAACACAAAGTGTATCTGTCAAAGGAAAGGTATATTCATAATTCTAAAAAGGGTATGGGAAGAACAATGAATACTGTCTTTCTTTCATACCTGCCATGCTTTCATTTAAACCTTGGGCATATGGGGCTCTATTTAATTTTCCCAACTGCATTAAAGTACCAGTGTTTATTTTAAAAGTCTATGGTTGAACTTCCACATTCTGATTAATGGTGAATTCAACTAAGTTGAAGTTTTGGAGTTATACCCAGGGGTAAGATTAACTTTAAAAATAAAAAGAAGAAAAGTAGAATAATCTTAAATAACAAGCCCCTCAAAACTAATGATAGCATAAGAGCTCAAGCAATTAACAGTTAAAAATATAGAATCCTTAAAAGAAAGGAAAAAACCTGCTCCTTACCTGATTAAAATGGTCAGCTGCAAATTTTCTAATGGACTCAATGTCTTTCCTTTTTAAGTATTTCTGATGAAAGAAAAAGTAAACTCATCAGTATGACACTTAGCTTCACAAACATGTTTATGAAATGAAATGGGAAACAAGTATTTTGTGTTTTTCCATCACAATAATAAGATTCAATAAAGATTTAATTTCTGTTGTCAAATGACAAATTTTTTTTTTTTTTTTTTTTTTGCGGTACGCGGGCCTCTCACTGTTGTGGCCTCTCCCATTGCGGAGCACAGGCTCCGGCCCGTGCAGGCTCAGTGGCCATAGCTCACGGGTCTAGCCGCTCCGCGGCATGTGGGATCTTCCCGGACCGGGGCACGAACCCGTGTCCACTGCATCGGCAGGCAGACTCTCAACCACTGCGCCACCAGGGAAGCCCTCAAATGACAAAATTTTAAGGCTTGTTACAGGGTGTATTTTTTTTCTAATTATGCAGGTCTTATTGGAAATAGCTGTGAATGTATTCCACAGAAGACTGTGTATCTATAATATGTTCAAAATGAATCTTTGCAACTGAATTGTGAAGGATCAATAAAATCAATAAGAGGATTCAGAATTTGATTATTTCAAGTCTCTTAAAATTCTTTATATCTTACTTTTCTAAATTATCTCAATGTGTTTCTAAGTGAGACATTATGGCTATCATCATCACTAATATTCATGGAGCACTTAATTAGCTATGGGAGATATAAAAAAGGTGAAAACATGGTTCATGACCCTGCAGTCCTTATAATCTACTTGGGAAAGAATTGGACATACTCCAATTGGGGTAAATAATAATAACAAGCAATATATGTTATACCGAGCTTACCCAAACACATTAAATATGTTTGGACTAGAATACAGACATCAAATTACTTTCCACTGAACATATGAAGTGAAAAAAAAAGTAATGAGACTGAATTCTTCTCCCCATTTTAAATATACTAATATGCTATGTATCCAACTGAATCGCCTTTCAAAACAGTAATCTTATTCAAAATACTTTTAGAACTCTTCTTAAATTATTTTCAAAGCAGGTTTACTAACTACAGAAAATAGACATGCCCCATTACTTAAGAGTCCATGCTTACCCAACCCAACCCAACCATTCTTTCTGTCTCCTACCCTCATTTCCCTTCCTTTTGCTTTTCATAGCTCCACCTCCTTTCTCTTCCCATTATTAATGCAATAGACCCCAGAGCGTCAGAAGACCAAGAACCAACACGCAAGGGCTATGCTGGAGCTGATATGGGGCTGGGAGCTGTTGGACAAACTGAGGCTGGAGACAGAATAGGAATACTATTTTATACTCATCACTGGTGGAAATAAACCCAAATGAAGTACAGGAGAACTTTACAGCATTATTTAAAAGGAAAAATAAAAGCTCTAGATCTCGAAAGTGTAAACTCATATTCATAAAGTTTTACCATTTTCTACTTATAGTTTTAGAGACACTATTAGACTTTATATGAAAAATGCATTTTTATTTAAAGAGAATTTTTCTTTCTAAAGTTTAAATGTACCAATGTTGAACATATTTACTTCCCAAATATACATTTTAAAGAAAATATAGAATTGTGCTCCACTTACTTCTCCTTCAGGGATACATATGGCTTTGATGGTTCCTTGGGGTTTACTAAGCGCATCTTGAAGAAATCCAACCTCTGTGTTTCTGAACATATCACTGATATCTACAATCTGGAAAATGGATAACAGGAAAAGGTAATTAAACGTGAAGTAATGTTTAACTCAAAGCCTTTTTTATTTTTTCAAAACCTATTTTTTAAAAATAAATTTATTTATTTATTTTTGGCCGCATTTGGCTCTTCGTCGCTGCACGCGGGCTTTCTGTAGTTGCGGCGAGCAGGGGCTACTCTTCATTGTGCATGGGCTTCTCATTGCGGTGGCTTCTCTTGTGGCTCGTGGGCTCTAGAGCGCTGGCTCAGTAGTTGTGGCTCGCGGGCTCTTGAGTGCAGGCTCAGCTGTGGTGCACAGGCTTAGTTGCTCCACGGCATGTGGGATCTTCCCAGACCAGGGATCGAACCCGTGTCCCCTGCATTGGCAGGTGGATTCCCAACCACCGCACCACCAGGGAAGTCCCTCAAAACCTTTTACAAACAATATTTTAAAGAGGAAAGTAGATCTTGTTAATGTTTATAGAGCGCATTCATAGAGTGTTTACCATGGGCTGGGAACCATGACAAGTGTTAATGTACTAATTATTCATTAGTAATAATTCATTTCATCTGCACAACAAGAGTATGAGGTAGGCCCTCTTATTATCCCCATTTAATAGATGAGAAAACCAAGGCACAGAGAAAGAAATGACTTGCCCAAGATAACACAGCTAGTAAGTGGCAGAGCCAGAATTTAACTTAAGTAGTCTGACTTAAGAACCACCATTTCATATTACAAAAGAAGAAACAAGGAGTAGTCAAGCTGGCTGCTGTAAAGAGGCAGTTAGAACTTTTTTGTGTGCTATGTTTTTTTCATTCTGAGAATTGAGCACTGCCTATTCGTGGACCAAGCAGAACTCAGTTTCTAAGGAATCTGCACTGAGAACTGAGATATAGAAATGTCACCAGCATTACAGTGATGAAGGGCTGTTGCTGTCTAAGAGCAAATAATAAGAGGCCTGCTAAGGAAAACTGCTCTGTGTAAGTTCTGCTGTACCCTTAGTTAAATATGTGTAGATCTTAACAATGTGAATAAACGTTTCCATATGTTTGAGCTCTTTATAGACCAGGGAAAAAGAATAAATATCTCTTAATCATTTGCCTTCCAAGTGCCATTTTAGCTTAAGAAAAATTCAAGAGGAAAGAACAGGGTTTTTTTTGTTTTTTTTTTCCTTTCAAGTTACCATTCATATCCATGTAACTAATAACTTGTCAGTAATAAAAATGTTATAGCAAGAATCTTGCTCTTGGAAATGAATCTTGGAACATAGTAGATAGAGAAAAGGTACTGTGATGCTAACATGCTATTATTCTCTCCTGCTGTAGCTGGGTAACAACAAAAGTAACAAGCTAAGGTAACAACAAAAAATATGATGTAACAGTGTGTGTAACTGGTTGTAAACATCAAAGTAGTTCAAAAGACTATAGGACTATTCGGGGGCAGAAAAGTACCTTCATCCCAAAGCGAGTGTCAGGTTTATCAGTTCCATAGCTGGCCAACGCCTCAGCAAAAGTCATAGAAGGAAAAGGAACCACCACAGGATCTCTGTCACTGGGCCATGAATACTGGAGCAAACCCTCAATTAGACTCTGGATGCCAGTCTGTTCTACAAAGGACATCTCTATGTCAATCTGAAACCAAAACAACATATGGAAACTAATTTGAAGAGCCACAATATTAGTATATACATACATATTTATATATTTGTCTTGTTTCAAATTACCATTGGATTCTGTTCTTAATACATGGGGAAGCAGGTTAAATATTACTGTACATCTAATGCTTTACATACATCAAACTGTTAGTTCCCACAACTATCTCATGGCTTAAGGCTCAGAGAGGCTAAGTGACTTGCCTGATTATGTACGGTTACATTACATTTGATCTTAGGTCTGTCCAACTCCAAATGTTATGGTTTTTGTGCTGATTACTGATTTCTGTGCCATACTAATTAATATGATATCATACAGAAACTAAATCATAATAGCTTTGATGACGCTGACCAGATAAATAGATTAAATATCAACATACAGAATTGTCTGTTTTAGTGCACGAGAGATTTTTTTTTTTTTGCAGTACGCGGGCCTCTCACTGCTGTGGCCTCTCCCGTTGCGGAGCACAGGCTCCGGACGCGCAGGCTCAGCGGCCATGGCTCACGGGCCCAGCCGCTCTGCAGCATGTGGGATCTTCCTGGACCGGGGCACAAACCCGTGTCCCCTGCATCAGCAGGCGGACTCTCAACCACTGCGCCGCCAGGGAAGCCCACAAGAGATTTTTTTAAAGAACTTTGTCATATCATGACCATTAAAACACTGTAGGAATCTGTCATTCCTTAGTTTATGACCATATTCTTTATAAATGGATCAAAAATTAAATAACTAATGCCTCAACTGTAGGTTAGTTTAATTAAATATCTGATAGATAAAATGTAATGAGAAATATATATAATTTCTATCCTGGTTTTGACATTCTTGGCTGTAGCAAGGCTGAATCAGTAAGAGATGAGTGAATATAACTTAGTACCTGAGTAAATTCGGGCTGTCTGTCTGGTCTTGATCCTTCATCTCGATAACATCGGGCAACCTGAAAATATCTACAAATGGAAAATAGTGTTAATTGAGTTAGGATTCTAGAAACACACACACACTTTCCCCCAAAAGTTCCTGGCAATGCAGGGTACAAAATAATAATGATACTAAAAGGGCATAAGAAATTTTAAAATTCTTTATGATGCTCTAATCTAATCAGATACATAGTTGACCCATGAGAAGTTAACTGCTCAATATATTGTCTTACAAATATACAATGGCACCTTTGGATATTCATGTATTAGACTGACATGCAAGGCAGTCCATGCTTCTTTATACACACTCTTTTGCTTCAGCCAAACTGAAATACTCACTGCTCCATGAATACACTTGAGCTTTCCTGTGCTATGCCATTCCAACTCTCATCTTCATCTGCTGAAATGCAGCTCTGTCCCAGAAGGCCTAGTTCCCAAAGTTTTTAATGATATTTCCCAAAACAATATAATTTCAAACCTCTTAATACAACTAATTTGCAACGCTCAACATACTTATTTTTGGTTTACATCACAGTTGATTTTAATATCCTATTTTGTCTTACTAGATTCATTAGCTCCTTGAGAGCAAAACCTATTCTTTTTTGTTTTTAACCCCCTACCCCATCTACTAGCATAGAGCTTTGTACACGATGGTCACCCAATAAATCTTTACATAATGACTACACATTTTTAGGGTATTTTACAAGTATTTTCCAAACTCTCATACATTTTCGAACCTTCTTTTAAGAGATTAGACAATTTTGTGTTTCCTTTTCCCCTTTCTTCCCCCTCTTTTCCTTTTCTGACCAGTACTATCATAAAGAAAGCTCACCTGTCTAAACCTCCAACCATCAGAAGCTGCTTAAACTGCTGAGGACTCTGAGGGAGAGAATAAAACTTTCCAGGTTCCCTGGATGGTATTACAAACTCTTTTGCACCCTTTGAATGAGAGAGAGGGAGAGCAGAGATATTATTAAAAAGCAAATTCAAGAAATGGTAGAAGTCAATACTTCAGTTCATCAATGAAATCAACTAAAGAGCAAAGTTCCCACAATGACAGATCATTTCTTGCTCATCCTTTAGTCCCCAAAAGGCTTGCACATAGTAGGCTTTAAATATTTGTATACAGCAAGTATTAAATGTATGCTTGTTGAAATGAATGCCCAATTCTGTTACTAGCTAAAAAGGATTTTGTGCGTCAATTCCTATTTAAGTAATTCCTAACTGCTTTTCTAAATTTAAACTATAATTTTATAAGTCCAGAGACTGTATAAATATCAGTGTTTGAAAATGTCAGTTCTTAATGAACAATGGATTTATTTTTAATGAACCAATTCATTATTGATTTGTAGCTATAAACCTCAATGGAAAGAAAATGATGTAGGATTAAAGGATTCTGACTAAAAGTACTGACCCATATAATTTGCTCAACTCTTAAAATACCTAGTTAGTGTGAATATCCTAAGGCAGTAAAATAAATAAAAGAAATAGAACTAAGGGAATATAAAAGCAAAGTGGTCCAGTTTCATAACTAACAGGACATTATTAGTAGGCTGATTTAAGGAATATACATACCCCTGGAGTCCTTTTAAATAATGTTGGTGTTTCTATATCCACAAACCCTAAAAAGAGAAATATCAGAATTTAATAGATGGGAATTTACCAAATATGATGTCTACAATACAGTCCAACAAATCTGAGGCTACTCTTTAATTAGGAATTTTGACTGAAATAAGCTATGAAGCATATTGATTCTGGTTTCTACAAACCCAAGAGGGAAGCTGAAGATTTTCATAAAATCCTATTCTGTTCATAAAGCTGGTAATTTTGTAATGAAATAATTCTGTTTGATAGATTCTGTGTACTGAACTGTTATGGATTTCCTTGTGTTCTGCTAGTGTAGCAAAAATAACACAAATATAGTAGAAAAAAACCCAGGACTGACTGAAGAGTCTAGTTTCATTCACATGACATTTTTGAGCTCCCAACAAATAATGTACAAGCATAATAAAGAATTAAGAAAACTTACAGATAACAACCAAAGGGCTGGTCCACCTTCAACAGTGATGGTAAATACTTAGACAACATTAACAGGCACTATCACCTTTAAAAGGCTGTATTTATGAGCCAGTAGGGAACTAAATTATGTTTTATGTTACTAAATTATGTTCTAGGATAAAACGCATGGAAATTACTGTTTCTTCCCTTACCATGTAGATTACAGAGATATTCCCGCATTTTCATGACCATCTGGGACCTCAGTCGCAGGTTGTACTGCATTTGGACACCACGCAAATCTAAGTAGCGATACCGCAAACGAAGAGCCTCTGTTTTCTAAACAAATTTAAAGATTTTTATGTTTAAATATTTTTCAAATATTAAAAAGATATTAACTTTAGATACAGATTGTGAATTTTTAAGAACTTTAGCTCTATCTTTAGCTTCTACCATTTGTGCACACACACCACCATCCTTAATTCCTATGACTTCTAGGCTTGTTACTAGCATAGATTTTACATTTTTCAGTGAACCACACTTCATTGACTGAAATTTGCCTACCTTACTAAACATTTATTCATTCTTTTTTTCCCGCCTTTTATCTTTTTGACCACGTGGCTTGCGGGGTCTCAGTTCCCCGGCCAGGGATTGAACCCGGGTCATGGCCATGAAAGCCTGGAATCCTAACCATTAGGCCACTAGGCCACCAGGGAACTCCCTACCCATTCATTTTTAAGCCTGGAGTTTAATCCTGAAAAAAAAAAATGTAAAGATTTCAAAGATCATTAGAAAATATATACCAGGGCCAAAAACAGCCACAACTTTATGACCTGGATGGGACGACAAGTTTAAGAAATGCAAGCGAACAGCAGACAAATCTCTACAGCTGTACTAGTAGGAACACAGTGATAAGGTCTGCTTATTTTCAAGGCTGGAATTCTCTGCATCCCTCCTGTGCTGACAACCTTTTCCCCTGGAATAGTTTATTTCTTTGATACTAGAAATAGAAATAGAAGAACTACCTGTCATTTCTCTCTCTAAAAGCTTAGAGCTGGTGGAAAACTGCATATTTCCTTTTTTTCCCCACAACAAGGTCAACTCTGTAATTATACTGCTTTTTCTAATTAAAATATTAAGTATTGGGAACTCAATTGTAAGACTAAGCGGCCATGCAATTAAAAAAAATCCTTTATAGATTAGTTTATAAATTAGGTATATATAAATCTACAACTGTAGACAGTTGTGACAAAGCTGAAAATTAGCTGGGCTTACATATCCAGTGTTGTTTAGCTTCCTCAAAGAACATCCTAAATTACAGTAATCATATTTATATGCCTTATAAACATTTTATCACTGTTAGAGGCTTAAACTTAATATATGCAGGATCTCCTACGCCATGTGGCCATTTCTAAGGTAAACATAAATTTCCTCTCAAAATGTAAAACCATAGCAACAAAAAAAATGGAACAAAATAACACCTAAGTCTTAAAGACAACCTTGTTTCCAGCTGTCTGAAAAAACATTCTAGGTGTTCAGGAGCTGCAACAGCTTAAAGAACTGTTGATATTTAAGAACAGTTCACCAGGAAATTGTAAAACTAACAGAATAATTCATGATATAGCTATAACATGCTTAATTTTGTAGAAGTTAAACTTTTTCTTTAAAAAACTCTGAAAACACTTTACTGGTTATCAACATTTTCTAGATACTCTATTTTATTAGTAACAGATGATGGCACCTTCACAAAGTCCTTAATTTCAAAGGGCAGCTTCTTGCAGGAATTCAGAAGTTTAGCTGTTTTAACTTTGATTTCAATCTCACCTGTTGGCATTTTCTTAAAGAGAGAAAGAGAGAAAAGACCTATTTTAAAAATCACTCATCAGGACATGTACACAATGAATATTTATAAAACACAAGCATTTATTTACATATGTAAAACACGGGGTGCTTATAGTGTATAGTCTAAAACATAAATGTCTGTGTACGACTTTGACATTCTTATGTATATCTGTGGTTGATGAGCTCATTACCAAATGTCTTAACATGCATATTTACATAGGTGTTTATGTTTGCAGTGAAGATTTTAAAATCTGTAGGTTCATTTGTAGAACCTGCAGAGCTTTAGTGCTGGATATCTAGTAGATACTCAGTCACTGTTGCCTGAATGTGTTGACAGACAGTGCACATGTACACAGGTAAAATTTAAATAGACAGTTTCTAAATTACTAACTGGATTCTCTTGTCCTGGAGGTCGAGAAATTACTGTGCCAGACACTTGCACCACAGATTCCATGGGGGCTTCACATAAAATCTTCTTCACAGAAGCAGCCGACTACAGAATAAGAGGGGAAAATAGTTCCAACAAATAAATGAACTTAAAGGACTCTGCAGCAACTGTAGATTATGGCTTAGAAAAATGTTAATACTCATAGCTTAATTGCAATAAATACTGGGGCTTCTCTTAATGACTTTATTAAAGAATTTGGTAAACTGCATCCCCATTTTGACTCCGTATAATACAGCAAGTAAAACTATTAGTTAAGAATTAAAATTTTTTTTCCTTAAAGGAAAATAAGGAGAAGAATGATTAATGCAAACAATTCCCACATACTTTAAAGGCAACTATCTCCAGGATTAGCCTTAGGGGCAGTTAAATCCAAGAGCAATAATGGAGTCCAAAGTGAAGGAGTTCTCCTGGGTTAGCTATGCTCATCTCTGCATCCTGATCCCTGAAAGATAACCCATGGCTCTTTACTTACTTCAAACATTAAAAGCAGAGTAAATCTTATTTTTCTCAGGTGTACAAACATTTGTAAATATTACCAAAATAGAAACGAGTGACGTTCAGCAACATGATGAGAGTTCTTTATTTTATCTGAATTTAATGGTAATTATTATTATTATTTTTTTTTTGCGGTACGCGGGGGTCTCACTGTTGTGGCCTCTCCCGTTGCGGAGCACAGGCTCCGGATGTGCAGGCTCAGCGGCCATGGCTCATGGGCCCAGCTGCTCCGCAGCATGTGGGATCTTCCCGGACCGGGGCACGAACCCGTGTCCCCGGCATCGGCAGGCGGACTCGCAACCACTGCGCCACCAGGGAAGCCCGGTAATTATTTTTTGAGCAGGTAGTACCTTCACATGGCTCAGATTCAAAGGGTATAAACAGATCTACAGTGAAAAGTCTCTCTCCAGCTCCTTAATTCCCCTCCCCAGAGATACCCAATGTTATGTGTCCTTCCAGGGACAGTTCATAACATACACACACATACACATGCCCTTTTTAGTACAGATAATATCACTCTACATGCTCTTCTGTATCCTGTTTTTATATCTAACAATATACCTTGGATTTTTTTCCCATATTAGTACATAATAAGCTTCTTCAGTCTTTTCCATAGCTGTATGGATATACATTATTTTTTACACCAGTCTCTTATTGGGGAACATCTAGATTGTTCTTTCTTTTTTAAAAAAATTATTTATTTATTTATTTTTGGCTGTGTTGGGTCTTTGTTGCTGCACGCGGGCTTTCTCTAGTTATGGCGAGCGGGGGCTACTCTTCGTTGCAATGCACGGGCTTCTCATTGCAGTGGCTTCTCTCATTGTGGAGTACGGGCTCCAGGCGCACGGGCTTCAGTAGTTGTGGCACATGGGCTCTCAGTAGTTGTGGCTCATGGGCTCTAGAGCACAGGCTCAGTAGTTGTGGCACACGAGCTTAGTTGCTCCGTGGCATGTGGGATCTTCCCGGACCAGGGATCGAACCCGTGTCCCCTGCATTGGCAGGCAGATTCTCAACTACTGCGCCACTGGAGAAGCCCTAGATTGTTCTTTCGATTAAAAATATTTCAGCAGTGAATAACCTTGTATTTGTGTCATTTTGCATCTATGTAAGTCTACGTGTAAGATAGCTTTAAGATCATTGACTACAAGTGGAATGAATGGTTCAAAGGATATATGCATTTATAATTTTGATATTGCCAAATTGCCATCCATAGAGCTAGTGCCAAGTTATACTCCCTCCAGGAATGTATGAGCACTTGTTTCCCCAAACACAGTGAGTTCTCAATCCAGTGCATAAAAAATAACAATTCTGTGTAGCTTTAATTCATATTTCTCTGCCTATGAGTGAAGTTGGCCATATTTTCATATGTCTACAGACATACAGAAAAATAGCCATTTATATTTTTTTCTATAAATTTTATGTTCATATTCTGCACTGGTATTTTAAAAAAAAATTTTAATTGATTTGTAGCAGCCTTTTAGATACTAGAGAAATTAGTCCTTTGTCTGTGACATGAATTGCACATATTTTTTCGCAGTTTGTCATTTGTCTTAATGTGGCTTATGGTAGTTTTAATTTTCATTAACAATAAACTTCTTTTTTTTTTCACGATACGAGGGCCTCTCACTGTTGTGGCCTCTCCCGTTGCGGAGCACAGGCTCCGGACGCGCAGGCTCAGCGGCCATGGCTCACAGCCCAGCCTCTCCACAGCATGTGGGATCTTCCCGGACCAGGGCACAAACCCGAGTCCCCTGCATCGGCAGGCGGACTCTCAACCACTGCGCCACCAGGGAAGCCCATAACAATAAACTTCTTAATTTGAAACCTCAAACATACTTATCCAACATGCTTTATTTATTCTAACCACAGCATCAAAGAGGCTTGGAGATAACAGGAGGAAACTTCTATTACCTCATCCTGAGGAATAATAACTTGAACAAGCCCATGGAAATCTCTTAGGACCAGGAAGATGTTTTGCCTGATTAATGAAGAAAGTGAACATATTAGGATAGAATCTTTGAGACCAAAATTTAAGCAGGCAAAACAAATAAAAAAACCATGCAATTTCACATGTTGCTTTTTTATAATAATATGCATTCATAGTTATATTTGTGTAATTATCTTGTAGCTTATTAATGAAAAAACTTTTTCGTTTACAATTTCAACTTTTAGTAGCTATATGTACAGCTTACTAATGCTATCCAGATGGCTTATTAATGAAAAGAAAGATTTTAAAACTTAAAAAATTTTATTGGCTTAAGTCTTTATAAGAAATTTGAATTAAAATTGGAAACTTTCCATATATTAAAATCCAAAGGTAATATTTTAGCATATTAGAGACATCTGATTGGTCATTTTTTAAAATACGACAATATAAAATCTCTTATTTTCCTAAAAATAAGATGTAATCTAAAATTTTCTAAAAGAGGTCCAGTACTAACTTAATACCTCTATAAGCCATCAAAAGGTCCCCCAAATCCCAATATTTTAGCATTCAACCAACATTTCTCATACAGTTCTTAGTACCAAAAAGAGGTACAGAAAGCCTCCTCAGATTTTCCTTCAGGAGATAAAATTCACCAAAAAAATTCACCAAATGTATGGGTCAAATATCCATACATTGAGTGAGGAAAATCACTCAATCTATGTATTTTGGATCTCTTCATTGTGAATTAATGTTCCATTCAGGTATGTTCTGGAATATAGAGGTGAACAACAACAATAATATGTCCTCTAACATTAAGGAATCATTGTTCATGTTTTTAGACTTTTTCTCTACATAAATTTAGCAAAAACTATGCTTTTTTATGCTATGGAAGCTTACCAGCTTACCCAATTACTGGTCCTAGGCACTCTTCAATCTTAGTAAACCTAGGGACATTTCTGTCCCTTGGTGGATCACACTTATTATACCGTTCAACAGATGTTACTGGTACTTACTGAGAGTGACACTATTTGAGTCTTTCAAAACAAAAATAAAACTGAAAATTCAATGACTTCTGAGACTCCTACAGGAGTTGCAAAGCTTTTATTCTTCTGACTGGTTAAAAATTAATAGCAGTTTAAAATTGCCTTAGGAAAACCACCATCATGCATACGTAAACCACCTGCCTCTATCTACCTTCGGTACTGAATCCATCCACACAAAGTGACTTCTTGGCCTAAGTGAGAAGAACGCAACTCTCCACACGTGTTGGTCCGGGCAACAAAACTACTGAGTTCTTAAAGAAACAAAAAAAAGTAAGATTAAAAATATATCATTTGCACATTGTTTGAGAATAGACTCTCAAATCATACCATCTTTTTTCATGTCAATGGATGAGATTTATAAAGTTGAAGAATGTAATCAATCACTATTAAATTTACCTGCAAATGTGTCAAAAGCCATGTGAATAACTGTCTTAATGAAAATTTTTGCCTTGTGTTAAGAATATAAATATTTTTGATCACCCAGCATCTGCATTAACCTAAAACGCACTGTTCTTAATAGTGCACATTTCTTCCCCAAATGAAATAGGATCTTGGGAATTTCATAAATTTGATGGTGCAGTAACTGGTTGTAGTATGAATCTAGAGTGAAATAGTCACTTGTACATTTGAAAACTCTCAAGTATTCTCAAGTATGAAAGAATTTTTTAGGCTTCTTATTCACAGCATGAGCTTAATGAATAGCCTATTCATGTGGTTACTTTTCTGCTCTTTTTAAATTCCAGGGAGAAAACTACATTATAAGAAATGAAGAGGGTGAATGATGTGCTTCTACACATAAAGCTATCCAGTCGAGACTAGGGGAAAAATGGAATAAGCACTCTTGCTGCAGAGAAAAGGAGGAAGGGCTGGGCTGTTCAGAGGACAAACCTCTTCACTACATTCACCTGGAATTCTCCTCTGTGAACTCAGTACCAGACTTCGGGAGAAAGAACCCCAGATCAGCTGTGTGGTCCTTCTAGTGGGTCTGGATAAACCCCTGTACAGCCGACTTAACGAACGGAACATGTTAGAGCCGCAGGATGGCGAGACGCTCAGGAATCTCACGCTGCAGGTGTTGGATGGCGGTCAGAAGTTTTGGAAATACACACAAATCCCTTAAAATATCAGGAGTTCCCACTCTCTTATATTTAAGCCCTTGTCCGCTGAACATTCAAGAGCTCGTGTCGGCAAACTAGATAAATCTGCAGTCTTTAGGGCCTTTGGGGAAGTTGGGTAGGGGAAGGACCTTTTAAAATCTTTGTCCCCTCTCAACGCATCCGTTTCACTTGTATTAACAAACAAAGCTTCGGCCTGAAGTGACAAGCGTACGATTCCATACAGCAGCCAAGGCGGAACACCGCGGCCACGCAGAGGCAACACGGGGCCGGTCAGCAGGCGCACGCCCTTCCCATCCTTCCACGCTTCCTCGAAGGTTCCCGCGGGCAGAACCGGAAAACAGGGAGGAAAATCAGCCCCGCGCTTCAAATCTCCCAAACCTGGTGGCCGACCTCGGGTCTTCAGAAGGAGGAATGAAAGCAAATCCAAAATGTTTCTAGGGCCCGAAACCACACACAGATCGCCACTGGGAGCCAAGCGGTCCTTAACCCACCCCACGAACAGCCAAGATTACGGTAGAGGGAGCCAACCAATCAGAACAGAGGGAATGCCGCCATCTTTACTACGGGCGGAAGTTTGAAGGACCGCTGAGCACCGGTAAAAAAGCGCGGAAGATTAACACCACGCGATTAGGAAAGTAGACTTTAATGGTTAGAGCGCTCCCTTGCCCTCAGTTAAAATGGCAACCTTAGTTGCTTCACTGACTTGGAATCGGCGCCATGGAGGCGTCCAGCGTCCTGCCGCAGGGCGAGTCGGGAAACGATTTTAAACTGAGGAGGCGGCTGAACGCAAAGTTGCTGCTTCTCAACGGCGGGATTTTGGAGCTGGCGTTGGCCCTTGAGGCCTCAGGTGGAGAGGGGCGCTTTGGGATACACTGTCCCTTGCCCTTTCCCTCCGTGGGCTGAAGCAGACTCCGCAGGAGCGAGGGTCGCGGAGCTGGGTGGCTGAGTCAGCGGAAATGTCCTTCCCGGCGTGAAGTGTCGGGCTCGGCTGGCGCCTGCGGGAGCGGAGGTCTCCCTACTGGGCCCGTTTGCGTCCGTCGTGAACCCAGCTGTGGTGGAGCGAGAGGGAATTTGGGAGCGCCAGGGTTTCCTCCGGACTTACTCTTCGCTGTCATTTTGGCGGCTCTTTTACTTCAGGGGATTTCAGTTTTGACGTAGTTTTGTATCCAGACTTGAAGAATGATTCGTGAAGGGAATGGTTGACAGCGTCATCGCGGCATTTATTGGTAAGATGCTTTGTTATTGGTCCAGGCGTGGCAGTAAACTTTGTGTTTTGCCCTGTTGTATAGTCGTTATCTTTACAATACTTGGGGGTTCAGATGTGTTTCACACGACCTGCTTAGCATTGGCGTTGGGTGACGATGTGCAAAAGTGATTTAAGTCAGGGTCCCTTCCTTCACGGACTTAGCACAAGAAAAACAACTGAGTTGTAATTGTGTGTTCTGAACTGCAAGTGCAAGAGGAATTGGCCGGAGAGCTAGCTCTGTGGATACTTGGAAGCTTCTCCTGAGGAGATGAAACTTAAAGGATAGATTGGATTTGGTCAGACAAATGGGTGTAGAGAAGTAGTCTTAATTGGCAATAGGTTGAATAAAAAAGTCCGGGAGCAGAGGCAAACATGACAGGCATGAAGAGCAGGAGGGTGATGAGCAGCCTAGGGGAAGGGGTGCATGTTTGGGTGTAGGGCAGTGGCTCTTAACCGTTTAAAGAATCATCTCCTGGACCTTTCTTCACCCCCTTCTCCCACCAAATACACACGCATACACCATTTTGCATCCAACCTTAGAGGGCTTTTAGATTTAGGAAAGACCCTTTGTCCATGGATCTTGGGGTAAGAACTGAAATAGTAGAAAATGAACCTGGATAGGATCAGATAATATGATCAGGTGCCTTGAAACCCAGGCAGAGGTTTTGGCTTCATTTATTTAGAAGATGTGTGGGAATTGTTATGGGATCTCAAGCAAGGTAATGACAAGATAAAAGTGATGTCTGTGGAGAAACTAGTCATGGATTGGGGAAAGGGGTTAAGACTGGGAATAAGATAAGTGGCTATAATTAAGAATGCAAGTGAAGGCCAAATCTGAGAAGGCTAGTATGTATGCTTTTAAGAAATATGTCAGAATTTGATGCTAATTCGGATGTAAACGTGAAGTTGAGGGAAGAGTAAAAGATGACTAAGGAGTATTTTAAGGGGCAGGAAGGAAAATGAGAAGGAAGAGTGGAATTATTACTGAGAAACAGGGTAGTTGGAAAGGAAAGATTGGTTGTGAAATAATGTTTAGCTTTGAACTTAATGAGTTTGAGGACAAAGAAGTTTAATGTTTTACAGGAAATTGGAAATGCAGGTGCAAAGGTCTGAAAATAGAGATTTAGGAGTCATATGTAGAATGAATGTTATATGGAGAATGAGTGATTTCAGAGTCTGGGGAGACATGCAACTGTTGGGACTGGAGGAAGGATAGGAATCAGCAAATGAATCAGAAGGAACCATAAGAAACAAGGAGGAGAAATAATTGAGTGTCTGAAAAAAAACAAGGCAACCGAAAGTTTAGAGGAGTAAGGATGAGCACACTTGATGAACCAAGTATTTGGCCATGGTTTTCACAAAAGTATTATTGGTAATCTTCAAAAGTGCCATGTCTTCATAGCGATGGATTCATAAGAGAGGTTGCTGAAGATTTCCAAAAAAAATTTATTAGTAAGTGGAGGCAATAGTTGTATACCATATTTCCAGGAAATTGGTCTCAAAACGAATGAGACGAGTAGGATTTAAACAAAACATTTTTAGTGTTAGGAATACAAGAATATGCATGGCAGTGGAAGAAAAGTATCCTGTGAAGTAGAGATTAGAGATGATAGAGGTTTGAAATAAACATGGGAGATGGTGCCCAAGAGAAATGTGAAGGGACATGGAGATCTAGAATATTGGTTGATGGATTGGCTTTAGAAAGCAAGTAAGAGGACCTCTTTCCTTACAGTTGGAAGGAAGAATATTGGGGCAGTAAAATATTAAGTCAAGCTATATTTTTAACCTCTTAATTATTTGGCAGAGCAAAATTGCACATTATTGAGTATGGAGTGAGAAAGTAAAATAGGTATAAACCATTTTCTAATCTTTAATGCATGGATTGGGCTATTTCACATTTACTGCAGTATTAAATTACTCAAGGGAAATGTTTTCTCGATACCAGCCCTTTCAGAGCTAGTAGTCTTTCTCTCACCTAGATAGACTTTAAAATCCTTTTGGAATTCATAGAATTTCTCTTTTAAGGAGTCAAACTTAGTAGGGCTTATTTTGCCTTGAAATTGATCCCTATTGAAAGGCAGTGTGCAAGAAGGAGGTAAGAGCACCCACTCTGGTGTTTGACTGTCTCGGTTCAAGTTCTGGCTCTGGCATTTTTAGCTGTATAACTTTGGCAAGTTATTTAATTTCTTTATCTTCCTATCTGTCAACTGGGAATATAATAACCCACCTCATACAGTTGTTTGAGGATTAAATGAGACAATATTTGTTAAAGGGCTTAGAAAGTTGCCTGGCACATGATGAATACTCAATAAATGTTAGCAATTATTCCAAATAACAGATTTGAAAGAAACATTCAATGTAGATGGGACTGATTAAAATTCCATTTTGAATACATAATTCTGTATGCATTTAAAGCCAGACTGCTTTAGAGTAGCTGTTATTTAAGTTGTATGGTATATGATCTTTCTCTGGGCATTATCTGAGTTTTGAGAACTATATATTTAATTTATGGAGTTTTGTGCAAGGTATAAAGTGTGTCATACTTTGACATGATGAAATTTAAATATAGGGCTTCCCTGGTGGCGCAGTGGTTGAGAATCTGCCTGCCAATGCAGGGAACGGGTTCGAGCCCTGGTCTGGGAAGATCCCACATGCCGCGGGGCAACTGGGCCCGTGAGCCACAACTACTGAGCCTGCGCGTCTGGAGCCCGTGCTGAGCAACAAGAGAGGCCGCGATAGAGGCCCGCGCACCGCGATGAAGAGTGGCCCCCGCTTGCCACAACTAGAGAGAGCCCTCGCACAGAAATGAAGACCCAACACAGCCATAAATAAATAACTAAATAAATATATATAAATTTAAATATAATGATAAATAAAGCTCTTCATTTGTGAAAAAAAATTTTTTTTAATTAATTAATTAATTTATTTATGGCTGTGTTGGGTCTTCGTTTCTGTACGAGGGCTTTCTCCAGTTGTGGCAAGCGGGGGCCACTCTTCATCGCGGTGCGCGGGCCTCTCACTATCGCGGCCTCTCTTGTTGCTCAGCACGGGCTCCAGACGCGCAGGCTCAGTAGTTGTGGCTCACGGGCCCAGTTGCCCCGCGGCATGTGGGATCTTCCCAGACCAGGGCTCGAACCCGTGTTCCCTGCATTGGCAGGCAGATTCTCAACCACTGCGCCACCAGGGAAGCCCTGAAAAAAATTTTTGAAAGGGTAACTGTGCCACTACTTGGGAGTAATTTTTATAACTTTTAAATCATAATTCCTTTCAATTTTGGAGTTCCATGAAATACTTCTGTTCAATTAAACCAATACTTGCTTAACAATTAAACAGCATTCAGCATTATACTAGGGTAATTATACAAGAGAAATACAAAGAGCATGATTTCAGTCAAAGTAGTTTAGTTTTTCTGGGAAGAGAAGAAATGCACACCAAAAAAATAGTACAAGTAGATGAATTTGGGCCAAAATGAGTGGTAGAGACTAGGTGATTGAAGAGAGCTGTGTGGGCTGGTGTATTATTAATCTCCAAAGATTTTGTAGAATATTCTCGAGGGATTTTGTTAGACTCATTTAGAGGGCTCTTGGGCTTTTTCAGAATATATACCCCTGAGGATCTCATTCTGTACACACACACACACACACACACACACACACACACACTGCTTCCCAGAATGAGCCACTGATACAGACACAGACAGAAGTGTGTAACATAGGTATTCTGGGGGGAAAAAGGTTAACAAAACCCTACTATTTGAAAAGGTATCACATTCACACATGGTTTTAATGGAGTGGAATGGAAAAAGAACACTTGAGGCAGGGAATACAGTTGATAAGCAAACACATGAAGACAAGGATGTGTTTATGTCTAGGAGAAGTAGGATAAGGACAAGCTGAATTATGAGTTGTGAATACCCAGCAGAAGAGTAGAATTTATCTCATCACTGTAAAGTTTTTTGCACAGGTGACTAATAATAAAGTACCATTTCTGAAAAATGGATTACCCTCAGATATGGAATGTTTAGTTGTGGTAATAAGACCTGGCTAAGGAAGTAGCTTTGGGAATGGATGGAGAGACTGAAGAAGGAAAAATTCAAAAGAATGTGCTTAATGATTGTATGTTAAAATATGAAAGTGGGAGACTACTTAAATAAATTTAAATTAACTTAGAAAATTGACAGGAATTTGAAAATGGACCAGCTAGCTTTTGGAAGGAGGACAGAGAGAGTTGAATTTAGTTTTGAACATAACTGTGTTTGAGCTATCTGTAAGATGTTCATAAAAATAGCCTATAGCCAATGAGAAATATAGGATTTGATTAAAAAGTCAAAATGGGGCAGGGAGTAGGAGGGAGAGAGAAAGAATTCCTTTATAGTAGATAGAGGAATCAGTGAAACTATGAGCATGAATTAACTTTTTACTGTTTAGAATTCTGGTTTTATTTCTTTTCATGTAGACCATGGATTCTTATGATGCACCAGAATCGACTCCTAGACAGTGTGCATCCTCAAGGCTTAAAGATTACTTTATAGGTGCCACCCCTCTGCAAAAACGATTAGAATCAGTCAGGAAGCAGACTTCATTTATCCCGACTCCACCTCGAAGGAAAATTCCCCAGTGTTCACAACTGCAGGTATGCTCTTTGTGTTCCTTTGTGTTACTAATAATTGAGAATGTCTGTGAATGAAACATTTCAATTGTTGTTACTATTTGTAGTATTTTTAGTATATTCTTACTCCCTGTGGTAATAAAACAAATGAGAAACAGCTATAACAATTATTCACACTATCAGTACCATATTTATTTTTTTTTTTTCTCCTTGAGGTACGCGGGCCTCTCACTGCTGTGGCCTCTCCCGTTGCGGAGCACAGGCTCCAGACGCACAGGCTCCAGACGTGCAGGCTCAGCGGCCCAGCCGCTCCGCGGCATGTGGGATCCTCCTAGACTGGGGCACGAATCCGTGTCCCCTGCATCGGCAGGCGGACTCTCAACCACTGTGCCACCAGGGAAGCCCCGTACCATATGCTTTTCAACCTCTTTTTTTTTTTTTTTTTTTTAATTCTTTCTCTTTTTTTACTAGTTTTCAAAATAATGCTAGGGGTTGGTTTCCTAGCATTCTCCAATGGTGACAAAGTTTTTGTTTTTTTGGTTGGTTTTTTTTTTAACTTTTTATTTTATATTGGAGTATAGCCGATTAACAATGTTGTGATTGTTTCAGGCTGCCACATAACATTGAGCAGAGTTCCCTGTGCTATACAGTAGGTCCTTGTTGGTTATCCATTTTAAATATAGCAGTGTGTACATGTCGATCCCAAACTCCCTAACTATCCCTTCCCCCCTGGTAACCATAAGTTCCTTCTCTTAAGTCTGTGAGTCTGTTTCTGTTTTGTGAATAAGTTCATTTGTATCATTTCTTTTTAGATTCCGCATATAAGGGATATTGTATTTCTCTTTCTCTGACTTCATTTAGTGTGACATCCTCTAGTTCCGTCCTTAACCTCCTTTAATTTGGGACGTTTCCACAATATTTCTTTGTCTTTTATAACATTGACATTTTTGAAGAATATGTTTCCTCCTCTTCCCTTTTTAAATAGAATATTCCTTATTTTGTATTTGTCTGATGTTTTCGCAAGATTAGATTGAAATTATGTATTGCTGGCTGGAATACTGTATAGGTCATGTTGTATCTTTTTGGGAAATAACATCTGGTAGCACATAGGTGATGTTAATTTTGATCATCTTGTCAACGTGTTGCCCAGTAATTACTGCTTTATTCCCCCCTGCAACTAATAAGCGGTCTGTGGGGAGACACTTTAATACAAATACCCTGTGCCTCATCAAAATTTTGCCTCACACTTAACATCCTTCATCCATTGATATTTTTTGCCTAATCCCATCTTTATGGTGATGGTTGAAAAATAATAATTTTCCATCTCTATTTGCTCCATATTTACCAACCAGCCTTTGGCGTTCTATTTTAGGCCCTTCTCATTTCTATTCCATTTATTTATCTATTTATCAGTACAGATTCGTGAATTCCTGTTTTTAAAATTTTTCTAATTACTTACTAAATTATTTTCATGTTTATATTGTTCTGGATTTGTCTGGTGGCAACATGCTCTGTTTTGATCATTCATAAAAAAACCCTGTGTATTAACATTAGTAATTTGTAATTTTACTGAACTATGAAATAAAGCCCCAGTCAATACAAGCTTTTTTGTTGTTTTATAAATTTATTTAATTATTTATTTATGGCAGCGTTGGGTCTTTGTTGTTGTGCGAGGGCTTTCTCTAGTTGCAGAGAGCGGGGACTACTCTTCCTTGTTGCGGAGCACGGGCTCTAGGCGCGTGGGCTTCAGTAGTTGTGGCTCCAGGGCTCTAGGCACTCGAGCTTCAGTAGTTCTGGCTCGAGGGCTCTAGACCACAGGCTCAGTAGTTGTGGTGCACGGGATTAGTTGCTTCACGGCAAGTGGGATCTTCCCAGACCAGGGCTCGAACCTGTGTCCCCTGCATTGGCAGGTGGATTCTTAACCATTGCACCACTAGGGAAGTGCCGTCAATACAAGTTTGATGGATGCTTTTGAGTCACTTAGCAAGGAACCTGGCTGATCAGTCACCCACACCTTCCTTTTAACTTTTTCTTGTCTGTGTTGTGGGTCTAGTATCTTTTGGCATATGAGAAAAGTTTTGCTTTTTTGTGAAACCTCCTTTAAAGAAAAATTACTAGGGCTTCCCTGGTGGTGCAGTGGTTAAGAATCTGCCTGCCAATGCAGGGGACACGGGTTCAAGCCCTGGTCCGGGAAGATCCCACATGCCGTGGAGCAACTAAGCCCGTGCGCCACAACTACAGAGCCTGAGCTCTAGAGCCTGCGAGCCACAACTACTGAAGCCCATACGCCTAGAGCCTGCGCTCAGCAACAAGAGAAGCCACCGCAACGGGAAGCCCGCACACCACAACGAAGAGTAGCCCCCACTCACCCCAACTAGAGAAAGCCCGCATGCAGCAACAAAGACCCAACACAGCTGAAAATAAAATGTAAATAAAATAAATAATTTTAAAAAAAAAAAAAGAAAAATTACTAGTCCTGGTAATGAAAGTTATGGTTCTTAACCAGAAAACAGAGATTGTATATAAATTAAAGACTGGAAAAATAAAAAAACAAACATTGCAACAGTAAAAAAAAAAAAAAAAAAGACTGAAGTGTCCAGTTCAGTGTTTCCTTTTCTCTATGATACAAATAATTTTGCCAGATTTTTTTTTCTTGGCCGTACCACGCGTCCTAAGGGATCTTAGTTCCCAACCAGGGACTGAACCCGGGCAATGGCAGTGAAAGTGCCAAGTCCTAACCATTGGACCCCCCTTTTTTTCCCCCAAATCTTTTGATAGTAATAAAAAAAGTTTACAACTTTTCCATGAGTACTCTAGTCAGAACAAATATTTTTGTCAAGTGGACAACTGTGGTGAAAGTTCCAAAAGATATTTGGGACTGTGGAAGTATGGATTCTATAGAAAAATTCAATTCAGGATAAAACTAGGAGCCTATGTGGGGGTGTATGTGAAGACCCTCAGTACTGCCATAGTGCCAATACAAATGAAGTGTTTTGTTTTTAGTGGTCCCTGTGATTCTAATAGAGCCTAGCCAAAATACTCCCATGTATCTTTTTATTTAATCTACTGAATTAGAGTGATGGAGTGAATTTACTGCCAAACAATTTTAGAAATTACTTAATTAAAACCAATGAAATTAGATGCTCCAGTGGTGACTATTTTTAAACTCTATAATTTGAAGTTTCTAAAAGTATTTAACTGTTCATCCAATAAATATTTATTAAACAGCTGTTCTAGATGACATTGTTCTAGGTGCTAGAGATACAGTAGTGAATAAAATAGGCAAAATTCCTGTTCTCATCAAACTCATACTCTAGTAGTGAAGACAGTAAAAATCAGGCAAGTACCTAATGTGAGACAGTAATAAGTGCTATGAAAAAAATAAAGCATGTTAAGGAGATATAGAGTGACAAAGCTGGAATGGGTGCAGGTGCTACTTTAGATAGGGTGGCCTCTTGAGTGACATTTGGGCAGAGACCTGAATGAAGGAAAGGAACATGCCATGTGAACACCCTGGGAAGAACATTCCAAAGGGAAAGTACAGCAGATGCAAAGATCAGGTACCCAGTAATGGCTTTGTTTTAAATATTTAAGATACTGTGATTAAGTTCTTAGTTACTCATGTTTCCTAATTCTTAAACTTCCTTTGTCTTGATTTTTTTTAGGAAGATGTTGATCCTCAAAAGTTTGCATTCCTTCTGCATAAACAATGGACTTTATATAGTTTAACTCCCTTATATAAATTCTCCTATACTAATTTCAAAGAGTATTCTAAACTTCTGAATGCATTTATTGCTGCTGAAAAGCAAAAAGGACTTGCTGTGGAAGTGGGAGATGACTTCAACATCAAAGTGATTTTCTCTACTCTCCTGGGAATGAAAGGAACACAGAGAGACCCTGAAGCATTTCTTGTCCAGGTATATCATATAAGCAGTACTTGCTTCCTAGGAGAAAAGAATGTGCGTTGTCTTGGTTTAGAAATTGTGATATTTTCTTACTGTTTTTAAAATTCTTAAGCTTGTGATTTATAACCTATTTTATGTCTTGTTTGACCAAATTATAGTAATTAGATATGACCAACTTAAAAAAAAAGTTTTTTTCCTTTTACAATATAATTATGTTTATCTTAGAAAACTTGGAAAATACATGAAAGTACAAAGAAAGGGAGAAGTTTGAGCTGCAAAGAAGTTGGGATTCTTCTCCTGGAGCTGAGTAAAACCTACCCCTATCTAGGGCTCGTTCCTTCTTTCCTTCCTTCCTTCTTTCCTCCCTTCCTTCCTTTCTTCCTTCCTTCTTTCCTTTTGAGGTTCTTGGCAGGCGAACCTCTGCTCTTTGTGGGCCCACAGATCTTCTACTTACACAACCCCAAAGACTTGTAGGCTTGAGGAAGTGAGGCTCCATCTGTTTGTGGAAATTTCTCTCAGTAAACTAGTGCATGGTGATGACTCCAGAGTTTCATCCATAGTCAATATAATGGAAAATTCGAAGACTTATGACTCTTTTCAACATGAACTTCAGGATTATATTAGAAAGCAAAGAGTCAGAGGATTACAACCAGAGGTTTGCTTTAGAAAGGATACAGAAGACTCTGTGTACAGAGAAAAGGACCACACTGCACCCAGACCTCCAATGCTGGAGCAGAGATTCCCCTTCAGGAGGCCCCACAAGTCCCCCAGTTCCTACAAGAGGCCGAAAACAGTGGAAAGCCACTTAACCCACACTGTCCAATATTCATCACTTCCGGCAAAGACTGGAACCTGTAAATCACTGTCAGAAAAAACATGACCATTTCTTCAATAACCAGTGGTTTCCAAGCCCACCTGTGCAAGGAATGGCCACTGGCCCCCACACAGCACAACACAGAGAAGAGGCCAGCTGCTTCTCGGAGGACCACACCAGTGTCCATCAGGCAGGAGATCAAGACGGAGGCTGGACGGGAAGGTCCAGGGAGGAGGAGGACATGGCGATGAGGAGCAGGTATCGTGGAAGAGGACGCACCACAGGGATGAAGAGGATGAAGATTCCCACAAAGAGAACAGGAGGAAGGCCAAAGTGGCGCCAGGAAGCACAGAGAAGTCCAAGTACAGAAAGAGCACCCATGATTGGGACACCATGAAGGAGGGAAGAAGGTCCAGTAGAGAGAAGAAGCATCCTGGCAAACATAGCACCCAGGAGTGGGACTTGTGGGATGAAGCTATCCTCGGTGGTTGTTACTGATGCTGGAGATTTGGGACCTGGATATTAAATGATATGGATCCATTGGAAAGGCTGGATTAAATGGTATTGAAGCAATTCATTAGCCATACTTCAAAGAAAATAAAATTAGATCCCCACCTATATCAGACTCTGTTCAAATATAAAAACCCAGTTGGTTTAAAGATGTCAATTTAAAACCCAAATAGAAAAGTATTAGAAGTAAATATAGGAAAATTGTTTTCAATCTTGGAACATGAACGGCTTTCCTGAACAAGACGTTTTAGCCAGGGGCCATAAAAGAAGAAAAAATAATACATGTATTTGCAAAAACACTTAAACTCTGCATGTAACAGAAGATTTTGTTGTACATTTTCTTAAAAACAGAAATAAAAAGCTATGCATTGTGCATATGCATTGAGCAGCTCCAGAAAGATACACGAAACACTGGTAACTGGGCTCTGGGGGCAAGAACTGAGTTGGGGGAGGCGGGTAGACAGAGGTAGCTGATAGACTAACTTTTCAGAGTGTACATTTCTATTTGAATTTTGTACTATATGAGACTACTACCTTTCCAATAAATAAATATTTTAAAGGTAAAAAAAAACAAAAAAACAAAGAAAGTTAAAAACCACAGTTTAACATTTTGGTATACATATATTTGTCAGTAGACAGTCTGAATAGGCCTAGTCCTATTAGAGAAATTGAATCAATAATTAATAACCTTCCAAAACAGAAAGCAACAGATCCAGATGGGTTCACTAGTGAATTCCACCAAACGTTTAGGGAAGAAATTATACCAGCTCTCTACAATTTCTTTCAGAGATAGAAGCAGAGGGAATACTTCCTAATTCATCCTATGAGCCCAGTATTACCCTAATACCAAAACTAGACAAAGACATTATAAGAAAATTACAGACTCCATCATGAATCTAGATATATCTATTTGGCTGTCTGTATCTATTAAAATTGTGATCATATTGCCCATACTTGTGCATTATGGCTTTTTTTTAACTAATAATCAGTGCTGTAGATAGTTACTCATGTCATTTTGAGTAAATGTAAATGTAAATTTTACGTTTTTGTAAATTTATCTGTGTAGTTCTATGGTTTTTAGTGGGATTAAAATCCTAGAAGTAGAATTTTAGCAAAGAAGTAACATTGTTACATATTGTGATATATCATACCAAGTTACTCTCAGAAATGTAACATTTTACATTCCTTACTATATGTAGTATATAAAAGTAATATGACTGTCCTTTTATTTATTAAGAAACCAGATTTATTATTTATGCCTGCTCCTTCTGTTTCTGCTAAATTAACTCATTTTAGTCATTGATAAATGCTGAAACAGTTGAAATTTTGTTTATTTGTATAGATCAGGGGTTAGCAAACTATGGCCTGCTGCTTGGCTTTGTAAATAACGTTTTATTGGAATAAAGCCCCTTTCATTTGTTTACATATCGTCTATGGCTGTTTTTGTATTACAACAGCAGAGTTGTAGTTGCTACAGAGACCACATGGCTTGCAAAGCCTAAAATATTTACTATCTGGCCTTCTGCAGAAAAGGTTTGCTGACCCCTGGTATAGATCATAGTATTGGCAAGGATCTCAGGATTACTGGGATTAGGTTCAGCTGCATATAACAGAAAGTCTAAATAACAGTGACAATAGAGGTTTACTTGTCTTCCAAAAAAGTGTCCAAAGGTAAGCTTTTCCAGGCTGGTAAATGCTTCATGAAATTATTAATAATCTAAGCTCCTTCTGTCCTCTCTATCATCCTTGGTGCATGGCTTCCCTCCTATGGTCACACTATAATCTAAATTGGCTCCTGGAGCTCTAAATACTATATGTAAGTTCAAGGCAAGTAGTAGGAGGAAGATGGGAAAGTCAGACAGGATGCCTGCCGCTGAATAAACCTTTAACGAGACTTGCTGACACCCAACAGATACTTCTCTTTATATCCCAGATGGAAGGAAGAGTAGAAAAAATTTTTAGTGGGTACTTTGCCACCTCAAGTGAAAGCACTGTTTTACTGTGGAAGGAAAAATAGATACTGGGTAGATAATTAGCAGTCTCTGTCAAGTTGAAGCAGTTGATGCCCAAAGAAGTTACATGGTTTGCCTGTCATCAGGCAAGCAAATATTCTTGTGAGGAATAGAAATAACCTCTTGAATTCCTAGTATAGTGTCCTAATAGTTTTCTAATTAAATCTCATTTCTTGCCAGGGTTACAGGACTTATAGGTTATAAAAACGTGATAGACATAATACATCTGGCTTTAAGGTATTTGAAAGTCTCATAACTTCTTGAACAAGGAGAAAAATGGCAAAAATAATTGTTCAAATGATCATCTCTAAAGGGATATAATATAGGGCTGTGATCTTCACCTTGTCCTGGTCAAACTTTAATTAAAACTTCTATTAATATCTGGAAGGTATGTTATATAATTTACAAATTTAAAGTTTGAGGGGTTAGTCAATCTGCTAGAAAATATAATCAAGATTCTAAAAGATCTGAATGGATTGACACAGTGGGCCAAATTGAAAGAGATTAATATTTTAATAGGAATAAGTTTACTGCCTCAGTGTAAGTTGGGGGAGATTTACCTATTAATAGCAAAAATGAGTATGTAGAGCTAATTTATGTAAAGCTGTCAACTAAACCAGAAAACTACTATTAAGATTATATTAGGAGTATAATCTAGGTTAAAGGTGGTGACAGTCCTGTAATCAGACCTTTTTGAAGTAATTATGTTCACTTATGAATGACTCCTTTGCCAAAGAATTTCAGAGAAGAGTGTCCAGATAGTGTGAGCACTTGAATGTATGTCATAGAAGGAATGGTTGAAGAAACTGGAGATGTTGACCGTAGCAGTATATATGACAAGGATCATCAAATATTTGAAGGGCTTTTTCTGTAGAAGAGAGATTAGATTAGATTTCATCTACATGCACATAAGGAAGAAAGTAGGACCAGTGGTTGGAAACTGTAGGGCCTAACATATGAAAGAACATTTTAAGTGGATAGACAGAGCTCCCTTAGGAAATAGTGACGTCTTCCTCAGTGGAATAATTCAAGCACATTGGATTCGGTGACCTTTTACAGTCCCTTCTAAAGGTTTTTAAAAAAAATTATTTATTTATTTTTGGCTGTGTTGGGTCTTTGTTGCTGCGCGTGGGCTTTCTCTAGTTTCGGTGAGCGGGGGCTACCCTTCGTTGCGGTGCACGGGCTTCGCATTGCAGTGGCTTCTCTTGTTGCAGAGCTCTGGCTCTAGGCGCGCGGGCTTCAGTAGTTGTGGCTTGTGGGCTCTAGAGTGCAGGCTCAGTAGTTTTGGCGCATGGGCTTAGTTGTTCCATAGCATGTGGTATCTTCCCGGATCAGCGCTTGAACCCGTGTTCCCTGCATTGGCAGGCAGATTCTTAACCACTGTGCCACCAGGGAAGTTCCCTTCTAAAGTTGAGATTTTTGTTTTCCAATTTTTTAAAGTCTTTATTGAATTTGTTTTATGTTTTGGGTTTTTTTGGCCAGGAGGCATGTGGGATCTTAGCTCCCTGACCAGGGATCAAACCTGCACCCCCTGCATTGGAAGACGAAGTTAAAGTTGAGATTTTGAGGCTTTTTTTTTCAGGGTACTGTACCTGGTTATACCATATTGACACCCCTTTTTGCATTTTGGTTGCACCAAGATCTTGCCATATACCATGTCTGTCCTAATAAAGAGTATTAGGAGAAAGGTCAGTTAACTTGATACACCCTAATAATGATCAGGGAGACTATTACCTCTGTGGTTTTTGGCAGGTAATAACTACATATCTTCTTATTTTTAAATGTACTAATTAATGCTGAGAAGATGCACTTTAGGAGTAGATGTACTTTTGAATTTAATGAGCCCGTTTGATTTTTCTTCATAGATTCTGTCAAAATCTCAATTGCCATCTGAGCACAGAGAAGGTAAAGTGTTGTGGACTGGTTGGTTCTGCTGTATATTTGGAGACAGTCTTCTGGAGACTGTTTCAGAAGATTTCACCTGTCTACCCTTATTCCTTGCAAATGGTGCAGAGACTAATACAGCCATAATTGGAACCTGGTTTCAGAAAACTTTTGACTGTTATTTCCGTCCCTTAGCAATCAATGCGTTTAATCTTTCTTGGATGGCTGCTATGTGGACTGCATGCAAAATGGACCATTATATGGCTACTACTGAGTTTCTTTGGTCTGTACCCTGTAGCCCTCAAAGTCTGGATATTTCTTATGCCATACATCCAGAAGATGCAAAAGCTTTGTGGGACAGTGTTCACAAAACACCTGGGGAAGTTACCCAGGAGGAAGTTGACTTATTCATGGACTGCCTGTATTCACATTTCCATAGGCATTTCAAAATTCATTTATCAGCCACAAGATTGGTTCGTGTTTCAACATCTGTAGCTTCAGCACATACTGATGGAAAAATAAAGGTTAGTTTGAGCAAATCTAGTTAAGTAATTTTTCCTTATTGTTGCATAGTTTTCAAAATGTATGGCAATTGAATTTTCCACATTGAAGAAACACTTTGGGATGTCTGCCAGTTGACGACAATAGAGAGATTTTATTTTATGCTTTATAAGTGGTTTACTAAAAAGTCTTAAGCCTTCTATATGCAGCTTTATAGTGGAAGGATACTATACACTGTGTGCCCATAGACTTTGGTAATAATATGACTTATTCTGTAGTAACTTTGAAATTTTCAGAATTTTCTTGTCAACTTTGAAATAATTATCAGAGTAACAGGATTTTGTGTGTTAGATAAGAAACTTATAGTAGAAACACAGAACTAAAATATCATCTTTATATTTTAGGCTTTTCTATCCCTCCTGGGAAAGAAATAATAGAGACATTGTTTTAGTGTATATGAAGGCCTTATTAGAGAACGTATCAGAAATAAACTGAGAAAAAAAAGGAAAAAAACTGAGAGTAGGCACCTAAATATATTTAAGTGTATTATATTAATATATTTAAAATATATTAAAATACAGCCACAATAAACACTCGTGAATATTGGTCTTGTCACTGTGCTAGGAGCTTAACATACTTTAACTCTAATCTTTAGAGCAACCCTATAGTTAGGTGTTTTTATCTACATTTATTTTATTTTTAAAACAAGGAAGCTGAAGCCAAGATAGATTTAAGTGACACATGCAAGATAGCTTAGTAAGAGGAAGAGTCAAGATTTAAACACTTAACCTCTTAGGTTCCAAGAAGTTCATACTCTATCTTATAAGCACTACTTTAATGCTTTTCAGACTGGAGGTCACAATGCAGCAGTAGGTTAGGAAGTAATTTGATGGGAAGAAACCAGCTTTAAAAAACAAAAGAAAAATAGAGTGGAAAATATAAAAATGAGAATATATAACATATACTAAGGATATACATTTGCTTGTACTGAGTCATGATGTTAAATTTATTTCTTAACTATGGTTCACAGTAATAAATTTGAAATATTATATACTATTCCATCTTACTTTGACATTATAAAGAAATAAATTTACATTTTAGCACCTCAGAATTCAATTTCATGAAGTCCTTATATTTTAAAATTTTATTTCCATATTCTCACATTCTATTAATAAACTACATTTTAAAACTATTTTATATAATTGTTCTTATCCACCTATGAATGTAAGGGTGGCCCTGTTTTATCTGGTCTATTCTAAGGGCCTCTCGTAAGGATCTAAGACAGTAACCGTGGCTCCTAGGTTCAAATAATGCCATGACGAAGCTAACATTTATCAAGCACTAACTGTGCCAAGCATTATTAAGCATTTACACATATTGTCCCATTTAGTTTTCACAACAACCTATTTGCATAGGTTGTAAAGAGGAAATTGTGGCACAGAGGATAAGTAGGCTCCTTCAAGATCACACACCTAATAAGTGGAGTTGGAATTTAAACCCAGTCATCTGACTCAAAAGCTTATGCTTTTAACTGCAACACTGTACTGCCTCTCAAAAGTTTGAAATTAATGTATTAACCAGGTTTCTGCCTCTGCTTAGTTTCTACAAGACACTTTGGCATCATATATCCCTTTGAGAAGAAGGAAGGTATGGAACTCTTTCTAGAAAATGTAGACACTCAATTTGCATATAAGTCTACGGGGTTCATAGATACTCCTTCCCCCTTCTCTTTAGGCAGATAGTTATCTTATCCATGGAAGCCAGGATAAATAAGAACCCTAGTCTAATTCCATCTAAGCAACATTGACTAATAGTTGTAAATTTATTAAAGTCAGGTCATCTTTATTAAGTAAAGTTTATTTGACTTAGAACAGCAATGGTTTGGGTTTATATTCATAGCTTAGCTTGTAGATATGGAATTTAAAATAAGCCTGGAATATTTATCAAATATCAAACTGCTTTGCTATAAGTAATTGTATTTTAATTTTAAATGTCTTTTTTTTTTTCAGATTTTGTGTCATAAATACCTTATTGGAGTGTTGGCATATTTGACAGAACTGGCAGTTTTTCAAATTGAGTGAGGCCTTGTGGGGACTATAAGTTATGGATTATATACCTTTTTCTCACTGACTATCTGCCTAATTGCTATGCTGAGGGGGACTGCAGGAGAAATGGGCATCTGTGCATCTGTTTTCCTCGCAGTGCCTTGGAGTTACCCAGATGAAAGCCAAGAAGGATCTAGAAGAACAAAGAAGGTGGTAGTGGATGAACCACAGCCAGGTGCTCGTGTAATATAGTCCTGGTCATCTGGGATGCCAGTCTGTAGAATATGCCGAGTTATTAATTTGTTGGCCATCTTTCTAAAAAATATATAATGTTTTATTATGTCAAAATTTTTAGGATTCAAATGAGATACCTCTAATATTGAATATTTCTGATTTGCATCTTTAAAACCTTTAATCCCTAATTTTAAGCATTTTAGACTTGTATTCAGAGAGAATTTCTACGTTCTATAGACATTTTCCTAGCATCATTTTGCTGTAGAGAACCAGCAATCAAAATCCTCCCCAAAGGAAACTAAAGTTACTATACATTTTTTAAGCCACTAATATGCTTCTGTTTTTAATGCTGTTTAATTCTTATTGCAGTGTTGAATTAAATATTCACTTTTAAAAGGAAGCCTTGTGTTTATCAGTGTTTTGGTGACAGATCTTTAATAAATATCTCAGGAATGGGAAGTCATAGGCTTTTTCTCTAGCACAAAGGTTACTCAACAACTATATGGAATCATACAAATCGTAGAGTTGAAAGGCAGCTGTGAATCTTTTTTGAGGGCAGGAATTATATTATGTAATTTTCATGTCCCTAATTTTGTTTTAGCACAGTGCTTGCTAAATATCTGTAGATTAAGTGAATTAATTTAAACCAACTCTTACATTTTGCAGATGAAAACTACAAAATTGCACAACTTAGATGTGCACAAGATGTTATATCTAAAACTCTTCTTTTTACTCACCGAGCAGAGGAAGATTTTGTTTTACTTTAGAAACAATGTTTTTTAAAATCTTCTTTGAAAGAAAATAACTATAATAGGCTGTGATTCAAAAACAAGGACTAACTTCTGGAATGGGGTATTATTTCACATATACTAGGCACAGCAGAAGTAGTGAAAAAGCATGGGCTTTGGAATCAGCCATTGGAATGGACATTCATTGTCCTTTGGAATCATTCATTCATTCATTCAACTAAAATTAAGCTCCCACTGTCTACTCAGAATTGTATTGGGTAAAAAGAGATATAGTAGTGAAGATAAAAAAGATCCTTGTCTTGTGGAAATTATATTCTAGTAGAGGAAGGCAAAAGATAAATAATTTCAGATGGAGATAAATGCTATAAATAAGGCAGTGCAGTATGAAAAAGGGTGACTGGGATAGTGCCTACTTTATATACAGTTGTCAAAGAAGGTCTCTGAGGAAGTGACATTTGAGCTGAGTCCTGAATGATGAGAGGGAACCAGCTGTTTGAAGATCTGAGGAAGCATGTGCTAGGCAGGTGAAACTGCAAGAGCAAAGGCCTTGAGATAGGTAAGAGCAAGCTCTTATTTGAAGAGTAAAGGAAGTCTGTGTGGCTGGAGCATGGTAAGGGTGGAGTAGTATGAGATGAAACTAAAGAGACTGTGCAGGGACTTCCCTCATGGTCCAGTGGCTGAGACTCTGTGCTTCCATTGCAGGGTCGTGGGTTCGATCCCTGGTGAGGGAACGAAGATCCCACATGCCATGTGACCAAAATAATAGTAAGTAAATAAATTAAATTAAATTAAAAAAAAAAGACTGTGCAGCAGAGACTTCTTCCATCGTGATAAGTCTCCCAATTTCTGGCTGGGCGTGTGGTTGCCCAGAATAAAGATGACATTTTCTAGCATTTCTCATAGGTAGGTACAGTCATATGACTAAGTTCTGACCCAATGGCATAAAAATGCCAGTGTCATGTAGAGCTTCTAGGAATCTTGTTAATAAACAGTAGGCCTGTACCCCTTGCCCTTATTCTTCTTCCAATTTTGCTGTTTGGAACACATAAAATGACTGGTACTCTAGTTGCTCTTTTAGGTCACTGGGATAAGGGTCAGGTCCTAGGGACAGCAGAGCATGGCCTGGAAGGAGTTTGTGCCCTGAGGACTTCTTGAAGCTGAACTCCAGTGCCAACCGGGATGTTCTTCCTCCAGACTTACGTATCAGAGATGTAAACTTCTATCTTGTTTAAGCTATTGTTACTTTGGTTCTCTTGCTCATAGTCAAACCTAATGCTAACTGATACAGAGAGGAAGAATCCACATCATCTAAGTTTTTACAGGTACTATGAAGAGACTGGATTTTATTCTAAATGCAATGGGGAACCACTGAAGTTTTATGCAGAAGAGTTATATGTCCAATTTGTGTCTTACAAGATTTTATAAGATATGATGGAGAATGAGTTGTAGGTGGACAAGAGTGGAAAAGGGAAAACAGGTAAAATGTTGTTAGAAATGGTACAACCTCATGGAGAAGTTAGCAGTATCTAACAAAATTATGTGTGATTTACCCTTTGACTGGTAATCCCACTTCTGGGATTCTATCCCCAAAATTCACTAGCAAAAATATAAAATGAAGCAGAAACGAGGCTATTTATTCCAACAGTATTTGTAATAGCAAGACTAAAAACAATCCAAATGCTCATCAGAGAGGGATTGGTTGAATAAATTATGGTATAGCTGCACAGTGAACTACTACTGTGTAATTATAAAAGGGTTTGAGGAAGATATATAATATTGCCATGGAGTTCTCTCTAGGATATATTGTTATGTGAAAGAGCAAGATGAGGATAGAGTGTATAGTATGCTATCTTTTATGGAAGGAATGGGGGTGGAATATGAGTATGTGTGTATATTTCCCTACAAAAACAATGGAAGGATAAACCAAAAACTAGTAAAAGTGATTGCTAATGGAATGATGGGAACCAACTGCGTAGAGGGGACAGAATGAAAGTTAGGAGTCATCTGAATGTTCCTTGTTTATAGTTTGGAACCATATAAATGTTTTATGTAATTATGAAACAAAATTAGATCAAAAAGGAAAAGCAATCCTTAAAAACTGAAAACAAATGAACCTAACTATATTACGTTCAGACCATAATCACACAAAGAATCGTTTTTAGTATCTCTAAATCCTTGTATTTTGACTGTATATCATCAGTGGGCTATATCCTAGGAAAAGAAGAGCAGCAAAGGAATCTTAAATTGCATTGAGTTATCTTATTTTTAATAATATTGGTATTGTTATTTTACCACTTTTCATAACAGGATAAAATATATGTGACTATAACAATGTTAGAAACCAAGATTTCTAACATTGTAAGAGAAAAAAATATACAATTATAAAATCAAGTAAGTTAAGTAGAAACTCTGTAATATTAACTTTGAATTGGAAATATCAGAATGAACTCATTTATTTTTGAAATGCAAATTTTAATTTTGATGAAGCCCAATCTGTCAAATTTTTCCTTTTGTTTCTTGTACTTTGGGTGTTGTATCTAAGAAATCATTGCTTAGTTCAAGATCCCGAAGATTTACTCCTGTGTTTTCTTCTAAGCATTTTATAATTTTAGCTCTTAAATTTAGATCTGTAATCCATTTTGAGTTCATTTTTATGTATGGTGTGAGGTAAGCATTCAGATTCATCATTTTGCATACAGATATTCATTTGTTCCAGCATCATTTACTGAAAAGGCTATCTTTTTCCCATTGAATTGTCTGTTACCTTTCTTAAAAATCAGTGGCCACAGATGTTTGGGTTTATTTCTGGACTCAATTCTATTTCATTGATCTAAATGTCACTCCTTATACCAGTACCACACTGTCTTGATTACTGTAGCTTTGTACTGTGTTTTGAAATCAGGAAGGTGAGTCTTTCAGCTTTGTCCTTTTTTCAAGATTGTTTTGACTCTTCTTGATTTTTTGCATTTTCATAAGAATTTTAGGATCAGTTGGTCAATCTTTGTAAAAAAGCTGGGATTTTGATAGTGATTGCCTTGAATCTGTAGATCAATTTAGAGAGTATTGCCCTCATAATGATATTAAGTCTTCCAATCTATGAATGTGTGATATCTTTCCATTTATTTAAATCTTTCAAAATTTTCTTCAACAATGTTTTATTGTTTTCAGTGTCCAAGTTTTGCACTTTCTTTTGTTAAGTTTATTTCTAAATTGTTTTTATGCTATTGAGAATGGAATTGTTTCCTTAATTTCATTTTTGGATTGTTTGTTGCTAGTGTATAGAAATATAATTGATTTTGTGTATTGCTCTTGTATCCTATCATCTTGCTGAACTTGTTTATTCTAGTAGCTTTTTCAGTGAATGCTGTCAGATATTCTATATATAAGATTCATGCCATTGAAAAAAGACAGTTTTACTTCTTAATTTCAATCTGGATGCCTTTTAGTTCTTTTTCTTGCCAAATCGCCATGGCTAGAATTGCCAGTTCAATGGCCGGTAGAGGTAGTGAGAATGTACAGTCTTATCTTGCACTTGATCTTAGTGGGAAAGTATATTTCACCATTAAATATGCTGTTAGCTGTAGGATTTTCATAGATGTCCTTTATAAGGTTAAAGATGTTCTTTTCTATTCCTAATTTGTTGAAGTTTTTTTTTTTTGCGGTACGCGGGCTTCTCACTGTTGTGGCCTCTCCCATTGCGGAGCACAGGCTCCGGATGCGCAGGCTCAGTGGCCATGGCTCACGGGCCCAGCCGCTCCGCAGCATGTGGGATCCTCCTGGACCAGGGCACGAACCCATGTCCCCTGCACCGGCAGGTGGACTCTCAACCACTGCGCCAACAGGGAAGCCCAGTTGAAGGTTTTTTTTGGTTTTGTTTTTCTTTTCTTTTTTCGCCACACAGCTTGTGGATTCTTAGTTCCCTGAGCAGGGGTTGAACCCAGGCCCTGGCAGTGAAAGTGTTGAGTCCTAACCACTGGACCGCCAGGGAACTCTCCTAAAGGTTTTTATTATGAATAGATGTTGGATCTTGTTAAATTATTTTTCTGCGTCTATTGGGATGATTCATGATTTTTTTTTTTTTTTTTTTTTTCACTTAAAACCACACCTTTCACTTCTGGCTTCTGCACGTAAGAAGCTTGGAAGTCGCCACTCCGTCCTAACAGGTAAAGAGATCAACAGATGGAAAAATCAACTATTCTTGGGTCTGTAAGAAAGGGGAGGACACAGAACAAACTGCTGCCTCCATGATTGGAGAGACAAACAGGCCAATATGGGGAATCATGGCTTACAGGAGCAGAGGCTCATGAGCAGAAACCACTGCAGGAACCAGTGCCAGGGTTGGAAAACATGAATTACAGTTGATGAATTGCTGGAGGCTCAGTGTGGATAAACCTGAGAATTAAAAACTCCAGGGGAACCTGGTCATAGGGGAGCCCTCACATTATTGTGAGATTTACCTCCAGGAGCTCAACCAGGTTCTTACAGTAAATATCAGAGAAAAATTCTCATGCTTCTGGTAGAGGGGAGGGAAAAAGAACAATTTTGAAATATACCAGAGCAGTTGGTTTTTCTTAACAAAGTCTGCCCTTAGGGGAGATTAGTTATGCAGAGCCTAACTGACCTGGGGAAAGGGAAATATCTAACACTAGCCTGCTCTAACCATTCTGTCCACCTAAGTGGGGAGAAAAAACTGAGAAACTCTTGTGAAGTTCACAGTCCATAGGCATAGGCTCACTAAAAGCCTGAGACCTAATCACAGGACTACAGAGCCCTTCTCTTCTCCCCATACCTCACTACCCCCTTACTAAAAGCCTATTTACAGCAGTTTTCTTTACCTGGTTCATCATGTCTGGCTATCAAGAAAAAAATTACAAGGCATATCAGAAGGCAAAAAAAATACCCCCCCAAAAAAACAATTTGAAGGAACACATCAAGCAAGCATCAGAGCAAGACATGGCAGATGTTAGGATTATCAGACTGGGAATTTAAAACAACTATGATTAATATGTTAAGGGATCCAATGGATAAAGTATTTCCATGCAAGAACAGATGGGCAGTGTAAGCAGAGAAATGGAAATCCTAAGAAAGAACCAAAAAGAAATGCTAAAGATAAAAAATACTGTAACAGTAATGAAGAATGCCTCTGGGGACATCCCTGGTGGCTCAGTGGTTAAGAATCCACCTCCCAATGCAGGGGACACAGGTTTGATCCCTGGTCCAGGAAGATCCCACATGCCACAGAGCAACTAAGCCCGTGTGCCACAACTACTGAGCCTGCGTGCCCTAGAGCCCATGCTCTGCAATAAGAGAAGCCACCACAATGAGAAGCCCACGCACGGCAAAGAAGAGTAGCCCCTGCTCGCTGCAACTAGAGAAAACCTGCGCGCAGCAACAAAGACCCAACGTAGCCAAAAAGAAAAAAAAAAGAATGCCTTTGGTGGGCTTATTAGTAGATGACACAGCTGAGGAAAGAATCTCTGAGCTAGAGAATATATCAATAGAATCCTTGAAAAGCAAAGACAGCAAAGATTGAAGAAAGAAACCCAAACAAACCAATAGCCAAGGTCTGTGGGACAACTGCAAAAGGTATAACATACAGTTGACTCTGAACAACATGGGTTTGAACTATACTGGTTCACTTATACACAGATTTCTTTCAATAATAAATACTATAGTACTATGTGATCCAAGTTTGGTTGAATCTGTAGATGTGGAACTGCAGATACAGAGGAACCATGGATATGGAGGAATTGTGTGTATGGAGGGCCAACTATAATTATATATGGATTTTCGACTGTGTGGAGGGTTGGTGCCCCTAACCTGTGTTCAAGATTCAACTGTTAACACACAATGAGAATACCAGGAGAGAGAAAGTAACAGAAGAAGTATTGGAAACAATAATGACTGAGAATTTCTTCAAATTAATGCCAGACACCAAACCGCAGATCAAGGGAGCTTAGAGAACTCCAAGCAGGATTAAAAAAAAAAAACAAAAAACAAACTGTATTGAGGCATATAATATTCAATCTACAGAAAGTCAAAGATAAGGAAAAAGTCCTGAAAGAAGCTAGAGGGAAGAAAACACCTTACCTATAGAGTAACAAAGATAAGAATTACATCTGACTTCTCCTCAGAAACTGTGCAAGCAAAAAGACTGTGGAGTGTTAAAAAAAAAAAACCAGCAACCTAGAATTCTGTGAAATTATCTTTCAAAAGTGAAGGAAACACAAATATTTTCCTGGGCAAGTGAAAGTTGGAATTTGTCATCAGTAGAACTTCCTTGCAAGAAATGTTAAAAGAAGTTCTTCAGAGAGAAGGAAAATAATATATGTCAGAAACTTGGATCTGTATGAAGTGATGAAGAACATCAAAGAAGGAATAAGTGAAGGTAAAGTAAAAAATTTTATTTTTCTTATTCTTAATTGATATGACAGTTCAAAATAATACAACAATATTTGATTATGCTTATATATAATATACATAAGTATGTGTTTATATATAAATATATTACATAACATATACATATAAACATGTATTTATATATGTCTATATATAAGTGAAATGTATGACAACAATGATACAAGGGACATAATGGGCTGTCCAGGTATTACATATGTCCTTAAGAAGTATTTCTAAATATTATTTAATTTGAATATCTTTATAGAGAAATGTAAGTTTGACTACTTCTTTTACAATGGGGTGATATACACATATACATAGAATAGAGACTACAGAGACTAGAGAAGAATTTCCAAAAATGATTGAGCAAAGGAACAAAAAAGCAATTTAACCAAATGAGCAAATGGAAGGACAGGAAAAAGGCAAACTCCAAGGTATAATTGTAAACATAAAAAAAATGATAATTAGGGAAATTTTAATATGGACTGGGTATTAGGTGATGTTAAGGAATTGTTAATTTTATCAGATATGATAGTGTTATTATAAGTAGACCTTATATGTAAAAATTAAATATTCAAGTGTGAGTGAAATAACATGATGCCTGGGATTTGCTTTAAAATACTCCAGTGATGGTGGGAGAAGTGAGAGTGGGAAGGAATAGATAAAACAAGATTAGCAAAGTATTAACAAAAATTGAAGCTGGATGGTGGGTACATGGGCATTTGTGGATTTGTTATATTCTTTTTTTTCATGTATTTGCTTCTCCCAGAGTGAGAGATGAGAGGGAGAGAAAGACACCCAATATGAAAGCAGGGTCTCATAACCTAATCTGGAAGTGACATACCGTCACTTTTGTAGCATACAATTAGACTCACAGACCAGACCAACCTTAGCGCAGTGCAGGAGGGGATTACACAGAGATCAGAAGGCAGGGATCACTAGGGGCATCTTGGAACCTAGCCACCACACCGGCACAGAAAAAAAGACTTGGGGAATAAACATCAGAAAAGAAAGCTAAGAGAGGAAACTATTGGCAATGAGGTCCTTTATGATGGTACCTGCCAGCTGCCTGCTTCTCCTGTCTTATTTCTGGACACTTGCCTTTTTTCATTTTATTCTCCTGATAAACCAAACTGCTTTGATTTCCCCAAACAGTCCATTTTGTCTCATTGACTTTATTCTGTATATCTTGCACATGCTACTCTGTCTGGAATGCCCTTTCCACTCTTGCTACTTAGCAAAACTACTCTGTCTTTCAAACCTTTTTCAGCCATAACTTCCTTTCTGATCACTCTTCCAGTCTACACCCCGCCAGACTATTTATTTATTTATTTGGCTGCGCCAGGTCTTACTTGCAGTATGCGGATTCTTAATTGTGGCACGCGGGATCTAGTTCCCTGACCAGGGATCTATATCTATCATCTATCTATCTATCTATCTATCTGTCTATCTATCTGTCATCATCATCTATCATCAAGCTAGCTAGCTAGCTAATTTTTAAAATATTTATTTATTTGGCTGTGCTGGGTCTCAGTTGCCACGTGTAGGATCTTTAGTTGCAGCATGTGGGACCTAGTTCCCTGACCAGGGATCGAACCCGGGCCCCCTGCATTGGGAGCACAGAGTCTTAACACTGGACCACCAGGGAAGTCCCTATCTATCTATTTATTGTAGGAACAGTTGCATGCAGTTCTGGAAGCTGAGCAGTCCCACAGTCTGCCTCTGCAAGCTGGAGAACGAGGAAAGACAGCAGTATAATGCAGTCCAAGTCTGAAGGCCTGAGAACTAGGAGCTCTGATGGTCGAGGGCAGGAAAAGATGGACATCCCAGCTCAAGAAGAGAGAGAGAATTCTGCCATCTTTTCCTCTTTTGTTCCATATGGCCCCAAACAGATTGGATGATGTCTGCCCATATTGGTGAGTGTGGAAATCTACTCAGTCTACTGAATCAAATGCTAAGATCTTCTAGAAACATCTTCACAGACACACCAAGAAAAAATGTTTTACCAGCTATCTGGGCATCCTTTAGGCAAGTCAACTTGACACATAAAATTAACTACCACAGTGGTCCATACAACTTTCACGAAATTCTCATTTTCTCTTGAAAGCTAGAATTTTATCGTTGATGATAAAATGCAGTCAGTTGTTTTCCTTGAAGTGACAGCCTCACTGTGTTCATTTTCCACAAAATGTTCACCACCACCCGAGTCTGAATAACTTTGTCTCTCAGTCATTCTTTCAAAAAGAAGTGGCTTGTTCAGCTTGCAACTCAAAACAATCACACAAAGATTTTTCTTGTGACAATCACTCTTTTGGTATGCAGCAGCAATATTTCATATATCTAAGGGTTGAGATATCTTAGGTGAAATTGACTTTTTTTTTTGAACTGTAAGTGGATGGTGGTGAATATTATAACTAGTAGTATAGTTTGGTGCCACTGCCTTGAACTGTGTGAACACGTCAGCAACTTTATCTACCATTGTTTTTGCATCAAAAGTGCAAATGTCATCACAGTAAAAAAAAAAAAAAAAAAAGGCAAAAAACTTCCTAGGATTACTAAGGAAAAAGCTTTGACTCATGGATACTCTGAAAGAATCTTGAGTACTTAAGGGTTCACTTTGAGAGCCACTAATCAAACTCAAAGTTTGAAACTGTAAGCTTTTTTTCTTTTTTAATGTCTTTATTGGAGTATAATTGCTTTACAATGGTGTGTTAGTTTCTGCTTTATAACAAAGTGAATCAGCTATATGTATACATATATCCCCATATCTCCTCCCTCTTGCATCTCCCTCCCTCCACCCTCCCTATCCCACCCCTCCAGGTGGTCACAAAGCACCAAGCTGATCTCCCTGTGCTATGCAACTGCTTCCCACTAGCTATTTTACATTTGGTAGTATATATATGTCCATGCCACTCTCTCACTTCGTCCCAGCTAACTCTTCCCCCTCCCCATGTCCTCGAGTCTATTCCCTACGTCTGCATCTTTATTCCTGTCCTGTCCCTACGTTCTTCAGAACCTTTTTTTCTTTTTCAGATTCCATATATATGTGTTAGCATACGGTATTTTTCTCTTTCTGACTTACTTCACTCTGTATGACACTCTTTAGGTCCATCCACTGCACTACAAATAACTCAATTTCATTTCTTTTTATAGCTGAGTAATAATCCATTGTATATATGTGCCACATCTTCTTTCGCCATTCATCTGTTGATGGACACTTAGGTTGCTTCCATGTCCTGGCTATTGTAAATAGAGCTGCAATGAACATTGTGGTACATGACTCTTTTTGAATTATGCTTTTCTCAGGGTATATGCCCAGTAGTGGGATTGCTGGGTCATATGGTAGTTCTATTTGTAGTTTTTTAAGGAACCTCCATACTGTTCTCCATAGTGGCTGTATCAATCTACATTCCCACTAACAGTGCAAGAGGGTTCCCTTTGCTCCACACCCTCTCCAGGATTTATTGTTTGTAGATTTTGCGGTGATGGCCATTCTGACTGGTGTGAGGTGATACCTCATTGTAGTTTTGATTTGCATTTCTCTAATGATTAGTGATGTTGAGCATCCTTTCATATGTTTGTTGGCAATCTGTATATCTTCTTTGGAGAAATGTCTATTTAGGTCTTCTGCCCATTTTTGGATTGGGTTTTTTGTTTTTTTGATATTCAGCTGCAAGAGCTGCTTGTAAATTTTGGAGATTAATCCTTTGTCAGTTGCTTCATTTGCAAATATTTTCTCCCATTCTGAGGGTTGTCTTTTTGTCTTGTTTATGGTTTCCTTTGCTCTGCAAAAGCTTTTAAGTTTCATTAGGTCCCTTTTGTTTATTTTTGTTTTTATTTCCATTTCTCTAGGAGATGGGTCAACAAGGATCTTGCTGTGATTTATGTCCTAGAGTGTTCTGCCTATGTTTTCCTCTAAGAATTTGTTAGTGTCTGGCCTTACATTTAGGTCTTTAATCCATTTGGAGTTTATTTTTGTGTATGGTGTTAGGGAGTGATCTAATCTCATACTTTTACATGTAGCTATCCAGTTTTCCCAGCACCACTTATTGAAGAGGCTGTCTTTTCTCCACTGTATATTCTTGACTCCTTTATCAAAAACAAGATGACCATATGTGAGTGGGTTTATTTCTGGGCTTTCTATCCTGTTCCACTGATCTATATTTCTGTTTTTGTGCTAGTACCATACTATCTTGATTACTGTAACTTTGTCGTATAGTCTGAAGTCCAGAAACCTGATTCCTCCAGCTCCGTTTTTCTGTCTCAAGATTCCTTTGGCTATTCATATCTTTTGTGTTTCCTTACAAATTGTGAATTTTTTTGTTCTAGTTCTGAGAAAATGCCATTGGTAGTTTGATAGGTATTGCACTGAATATGTAGATTGCTTTGGGTAGTATAGTCATTTTCACAATGTTGATTCTTCCCATCCAAGAACATGGTATATCTCTCCATCTGTTTGTGTCATCTTTAATTTCTTTCATCAGTGTCTTACAGTTTTCTGCATTATAGGTCTTTTATCTCCTTAGGTAGGTTTTTTCCTTGGTATTTTTTTCTAACATCTTTATTAGAGTATAATTGCTTTACAATGGTGCATCAGTTTCTGCTTTATAACAAAGTGAATCAGTTATACATATACATATGTCCCCATATCTCTTCCCTCTTGCATCTCCATCCCTCCCACCCTCCCTATCCCATCCCTCTAGGTGGTTACAAAGCACCGAGATGATCTCCCTGTGCTTTGCGGCTGCTTCCCATTAGCTACCTATTTTATGTTTGGTAGTGTATATACGTCCATACCACTCTCTCACTTTGTCCTAGCTTACCCTTTCCCCTCCCCCTATCCTCAAGTTCATTCTCTAGTAGGTCTGCATCTTTTTTTTTTTTTTAACATCTTTATTGGAGTATAATTGC